ATGAGCAGTCATTTTAGACTAGTCCTGGAAAATGACACTTCTTAAATGTTCATTTCCTCATTTCCTGCTGAGCCTGAGAAACTTTTTATCTGCCTGTGATGTTCCTCCAGAATGTTCTTTGCAATAATTCAGTATGTTGCAGTTTTTGGACTGAAGTACTTTTATAAACGCAGTGGCAAGGGACACGGTGGCTCAGTGGTTAAGACGCTGAGCTTGTCAATTAGAAAGGTCGGCAGTTCGGTGGTTCGAATCCCTAGCACCGTGTAACGGAGTGAGCTCCCATTACTTGTCCCAGCTTCTGCCAAACTAGCAGTTCGAAAGCAGGTAAAAATGCAAATAGAAAAATAGGGACCACTTTGGTGGGAAAGTAACAGCGTTCCGTGCGCCTTTGGCGTTTAGTCATAACGGCCACATGACCACGGAGACGTCTTTGGACAGCGCTGGCTCTTCGGCTTTGTAACAATGATGAGCACCGCCCCCTAGAGCTGGAAACGACTAGCACGACTAGCACGTATGTGTGAGGGGAACCTTTACCTTTCTTTTATAAACAGAATAACAGAGTTGGAAGGGACGTTGGACGGATTCTAGTCCAGTCCTCTTCTCAAGCAGCTTATACCATTCCAGACAAATGGCTCTCCAATCTCATCTTAAAATGGAACAGTGATGGAGCACCAACAACTTCTGGAGGTGAGCCATTTCACTGATTAATTATTCTCACTATCAGGAAATTGCTCCTTAGAGAATTATAAGAATGATAAGAATTGACAAATGAATATAGCAGCTGTAGATTATCAGGGCTGTAATATATTAAGATTATCTAAATTCCGTCACAATTGGAACATCAGACTATCAGTAACAAAATTTTATATTGAGAAGAGTGAAAGAAAGACTCTGGTCACAAAGAGCCTTCCCAAACACACACATTGTACTTACAGATGGACAATTTTGAATTCGTTTCCACATGACATCAAAAGTTTTTCCCTTTGGAAAGAAATGGGAAAACATGCTTATGTGGTTCTCATCAGTGAAAAAGAAACAACAAAGAACATGATTTATTTTCTTCCATCCCACCATCCCACCACTTGAGGTGGTTTCTAATAATAGCAAGTGATCATACTCTTGCAAAAGTGTTTCGGCACAGTCAGCAATAAATTTTTAATTGAATTTCTGAATGCTCCACTAGGTTAAACAGGAGGGATGTTGGGGTGAGATCAAATTATTGTTGTACTTACAGGAATAACAGCATAAACTGTGTCTTCTCCAGAAAAGTATTGCTTCCATATCTGGATAAAAGAGATTGTGCCAATTATTTCAAAGACAGTGAATGGAAATCAAAAGAATCTCGATTCAGTGAAATAACTGTATTACCAAAATAACCAGTCAATTGAAATATTTGATGTTGGTCTTTACTGGTACTGTTTCCAGTCTAATAGCCAAACTCGAAAGTTGTCCAGGTTTTTTTTACCCATGTTCCTATTTAAGGTTGACAGTCAAACTAGTAATAAAAATAACCAAAACTTACTAAATGAAACACATAGCAAAACAAATTAAAGAGCTTGGTAGGATAACTGCAAGTTGATTTCAATGGGATTTTTGTTCTTCTAAAAAGATATTTACTCAGTCCTAAAAAGACATAAGGATGAACTCTAAGGAACTGGCTTGGACAAAAACCTCCTGTGGTGTGGGTGCACATTTTAAAACTTCATCATCGTCTTATTTCACCATGCACTAGAACCCAAATATTCTTTAAAGATTTCGAGGGAAAAATATATGGGAATTGATTTCTGCCCATAAACTCTGGGCTTAAAAAACACCAATATTTATTTACTTACTTACTTACTTACTTACTTCATTGTTCATGTTTCTATCTTGCTACAATCGAAGGACTTCACTATGCCATACAAGAGGGACTGTACATATATATGTCTTTTTAAGATTATATGTAGACTAATCTAGACTTTTAATATAAAAGGACAATTCACACATAGGACAAATGATAACATTGTTAAATTGTCAAAGCAAGTATCTCCATTCAGGAAACTGAGCAACAGCACTGAATATAGGACTTTAATGTTAAGTTTTTGCTCTTCAAGTTAACAGAGAACAGGTTCCATTAACTTAACAGTGTTAAAAGTTACACAAAATGTACTTTTTAAGGATTCCCATTTTTGTCACCTGCTTTATTTCTTCAGGCTTCTTCTGTTTCATCATCTCAACATTAAGTATAGAATCAAGTGTCTGTAACAAATTATAAACAATAAAGTTTGCATGCTAAGTCATCAATGTAAGAAACAAAACAAAACATTGACTCCTTGTAGGCTAACACACATACAATGTAACTGGGAAGAACTACTTCTAATAACACTTATCTAATTTGTAGAATTTATATCCTACCTTTCATCAGATAGTTCAGTGTAGTATGCCTGTATACTGCATGAGTCAAAAAGAGGGCGGTGAAGATATTTACAGACCCCTCACATCCTGGACATAAACGATTTCAACTCCTACCCTCAAAACGGCGCTATAGAGCACTGCACACCAGAACAACTATACACAAGAACAGTTTCTTCCCAAATGCCATCACTCTGCTAAACAAATAACTCCCTCAACACTGTCAAACTTTTTACTAAGTCTACATTACTATTACTATTACTCTTTCCATCCTTCCATTCACCCATCTCCTCCCATTTATGACTGTATGACTGTAACTTTGTTGCTTGTATCCTTACAATTTTTTATTGACTGCTTATTGTACCCTGACTAATTATTAAATGTTGTACCTTATGATTCTTGATGAATTTATCTTTTTTTATGTACATTGAAAGCATATGCACCAAGACAAATTCCTTGTGTGTCTAATCACATTTGGCCAATAAAGAATTCTGCTCAAAATCAATCATTGGATCGATGAATGGGAAGGGACCTAACACTAGGTCACATACCAATCTAGATCCAACTTATTTGTAAAATTTTATTTTACATTCTTAAAATAAATAATTAGTAAAACAATCTTTACACTTAACTTTAAAAAATAATAAAAAACAAAGCAAAAGAAAAAATAGGAATAAGACAGCTCCAAAAGATTTTTAAAAAGAGAAAAAACCCTCTATTTTATAGTTACCAATAGCTCTGATGTTACTAATAAATATATTACTATAATATAATCTGTACAAAATTGTAAAATATAACAAAATCTCTGCCACAGTAATATATATCCTTGCATCCTTTGATTAGTAGAAAATATTGCCTTTTGCTAGACTGATAGATTCACTTCCAACCAATGGTGGGATTCAATTTTTTTTTTACCACTGGTTCTGTGGGCGTGGCTTGGTGACGTGGCAGGGGAAGGATACTGTAAAATCTCCAGTCAGAGGTGGTATTTGCCGGTTCTCTGAACTACTCAAAATTTCCACTACCAGTTCTCCAGAACCGGTCAGAACCTGCTGAATACCACCTCTGCTTCCAACCATCATTTCTTAACATACGAAATGAGGGCTCCTTGGCGCTCTCTGAGCTTGTTTTCTTGCAGACATTTCATTACTCAAACTAGGTAACATCATCAGTGCTGTTAGCTAGTTTGAGTAATGAAATGTCTGGAAAAAAAAGAAACAAGTTCAGAGAGCACCAAAGACTCCTCAGTCAAACCCTGAGCTACAATTATTTTTACTGGTAATATCTGGAATATTATCACATTTCTAATTTCCCAATATGAAAAATCCCAGACCTTAGCCACTCTACTATGCTAGCTCAATAGCAAATAACTATATAACATAACCATCAAATCCAGTGGCCTGTTCTCAGGATGAAAGAAAGCATATCCATGGTAGCTTATCAAAAGCAGCTGAACTATGCCAATTACAGAATTTTCTATAAAAAATCTTATGAAAAATCTCTCAGATAGATCTAGCTCCCTAATCCAATCACCATTAGCAAAATAGGTACTATAAATAAGAGTAGAAAATAGGTTTAATGAAAATATAATTTTACCTTATTTTTCGTGAATCCTGGTTTTGTTTGTCCTGCTTTTGCAGTCTAGAATTAAATATTAAGACTACTTTAGAATCAGCACCATGAAAATGGTTATAATCTTCATAGTGTTAAGCAATTTGTCTTAGACCTCTGAACAATTCAAGGAGGCACATATAACACATAACTGGCTGAAGTGCAAAGCCAAGGGATTGGGTAAAATGCAATTGTTTTTAAATTAGAAGTTAGTTTTGTATCAGTAGAAGACATGAGTTAATTTTGAGATGAAGACTATGGGTTGACATAGTTATTTCTGGAAGATACTTTTAAACTAATATAAGGCTGTCCCAAATCTTGGAATAACATGTATTCCATTCAATCAGAAAGCATGGGGGAGAGGTTATGCTGCTGATATTAATGTATCCTTCTCAAACTCAATGTATCCTTCCTGTGTATACGACAATAAATCTGAAAACATAAAAGGTGTGTGTATGTATGTATGTTTATATGTACATATCAAACATGCATACAAAAAGCTAAAGGAGAAGATAGATCTTAATGTTTTTGTTATTTTTTAATGTCCAAACAAATTTCAGTTTAATTAAGTGGTTCTTTTTGCAAAAGAAGGCCTTCCTTTTGAAGCCTCACTTTTACAAAAAAAATGGGATAAAGGATCCAGCTGTGACTATAAAGGCCTCTATTCAACATTTAATACGAACAGAAAAAAGTTTAATCTATCTCTGTAAAGTCAAAATACATGCATAACCATAAATACGCAGGCACACAAGAGTGGAAACAACAGTCAGGATTTTTTTTTTTATATAGCAAAAAATGTTTTCTAATCCCAATTTTTTCTGATAGTTAATAAAATATTTATTGGATTAGATACTAAACATGAAATATTTGACATTAGCCTTGCCTGTTCCTCCATGCATCTGACAAACTCTGCCTGTTTTGAGAATCCCACTGGCTGCTTTTTCAAACCATTCTTTTGCTCCATGCGAGATTCAAAAAGATCTGGATTGGATCTGAATCAAAGTTAGAACAGTTTATAACTACCGCACACAGATCATACTTTCGCCCCAAAACTCCTTATCATATGCCAAAAGTGTGTGACCTCCTCATCATACTTTGTCATGGTAACTTATTAAAAAGCAGGGCAGGATGACAGCAAACTGGGCATATTTCACTCTAAATATCCGTCAGCGACCAGCTTCAACAGGAGAAGACTGGTGGAAGAAAGCAAATCTACTATGTATTTATAGCAGCACCCAAACCAATAAAGCTTGCATGCACACAAATAAGGTTTGAAACCTCTGAGCCTTTACTGTAAACCACTGCAAACCCGAGTGCGGGATATATTATAGCTCGACCCTGGACTTGTTTACTGGAATGCGTGTAAATGCCTCGAAAGCGTGGTATAGTGGTTAAGCTATACAGGCTAGAAAACGGGAGACCATGAGTTCTAATTCTGTCTTAAGATAGGAGGCGTGCAGGGAAAGACGGGAAGACAAAGCCCAGCTAAGGACGTTCCTAGGGCTTCCACTTCAAGGTTACTCTCAGATCCCCACTTCTTCCCCCGCCCCCCCCAAAAAAGATTAAGCACAGCGTCCGGCTCCTCGGCGCTGTCTTATACCTGCGAAGCTCTTGGACCTTAGTTCGGTATTTCTCGAAGAAAGGGTTCTCCCCCAGACCACTCTCGTCTGCCAGCCCGCGGATCCCGAGGACTAGCGGCCTAGGCCGCGGGGGGACCAAAAGGCCAAGAGGCCGAAGAGCAGCGTAGCGACTCATCAGCACCCCGCGGGCCAGGCTGAGCCCCGCCATCCCCCAGAACTGCTGCAGATGCCCCGCTGCCATGGCGGCCCTGCCCACCCCCCTACTCTGCCTTAGCCGCGAGCAACGCGGAACGCCCTCCGCCCGTTTACGTCACCCAGCGCAAAGGTTCCGCCCAGGCAAAGAAGGGAGCGAGCGAGGGACGCCATACTTTAAATGTTACATAATACAAACCGCGGACCGGGCTTATTAAAGAGAGCATCTCCAATGAGGCTATACTAGATCTACCCGATATTTGGGGTTGAGGGCTAAACCCCGGTTGAACATTGTTGATCTCTGTTCAATTTATTATGCGTTCAAGTCACTTTTTGACTCCTGGCTAAATCCCTCTACTTGGAAAGGTTTTTTGGAAGTGGTCTGCCATTGCTTCCTTCTTAGGGCTGAGAGAAAGTGGCTGGCCAAGGTCACCCAGATGGCTTTGTATCTTAAGACAGAATTAGAACTCATGGTCTCCCGTTTTCTAGCCTGTATAGCTTAACCACTATACCAAACTGCCTCTATTGGCTGTCCATTTTTGAAACAGTATTGGGTGCTTGATTTTCAAGTGTAAAAGTGTTTCCTAGTATGATTTGATTGCTTATTGTACCCTATGACTATCATTAAGTGTTGTACCTTATGATTTTTGACTCTTGGTGAATGTATCTTTTCTTTTATGTATACTGAGAGTATTTGCACCAAGACAAATTCCTTGTGTGTCCAACTACACTTGGCCAATAAAGAATTCTATTCTATTCAAACCCGTTCTCTAAATGCCAGATATGCCCTTAGCACCAAGAGGTTATGGATCCATGACCTAAAATAATCATCTGGCCTGTTTGGGAGGTCTTATAGTCAACTACCAGAATTTCCAGTTAAAGGAGTTAATATTTCTATAGATCTGGAGAAAGGCAGATCACAAACAGCTTTTTCTCAAAGAAAAAATAAAACACATACAGAGAAAAGTCAGCCTGTAGCGTTTTGGATTGCATAAAAGAATGGGCAATCAAGCTTTTCCTTATCTTGAAAAGGAAGGCAAAGGTTTCTAGAAAGTCTATCCTGCATAGTATTGCTTTGTTGACTTAAAAGTCCTTTCACCTATGTTCCAGGAAAGTAGAGATTTCAACTGGGTGTGAGAGTAGAATGTATATTCTTGGCCCTCAGTATGGTCTCCTGGTGACCATTGTTTCATCATAAGCTTTGGAATGTGACTTTCTCTTCTATTCCTTTCCATTAGAATTAATTTCAACTACTCATTTGGTTTTCTCCTCCTCAAAAGAGAGCAGCTTCATCTTCTTCGAATAAAGGCATGGTAAAATCCAAACTTACAGTAAATGATGATTATCCCTAGTGGTGAGTAGCCCACTGTCTTTTTTGAACTAAACATTAGCAAGTTTGCTTTTTATTACTGGAAAGCTAGGTGAGTCACCCAGCAGCAAGCAATTGAAACAGTATACATATACTGCTGTGCCTGATCTGTTTTAATTCTGGTCTCTTAACTAAAGCTCAGTGGTTCAAACAGAGTTTAAAACAGAGTTTACAAATTGCAACTATAATTACGATTGGGTCTGCAGAACATACTTAACCAAAATCAAATAAACCACATACGGTATATTTTTTACTAAAATACATGAACTCAAGAGTCATTGGTCAAAAGATAAGTTGATTTTGGACTGGCTGTGGGGAAAGGACATTTTTCTTAGGAATGGCTCCCTTTGGAGGTGACTATTTTGGCTTAGATCTGATTAGCAGCTTTGACTGGTGCAAGAACCTATCACTTCCTGATGTAAAGGCAGCTCGGCCAATAACCCTTTTCCTTTTGGTTACCTTTTGCTCAGATAACATCTCAGGAAGCTGCCTTGATGTGTGTTTGGACATAGTTAATATAAAACAGGGCAACCAGATTGTTTTCAAGGATGCACCAATGAGCACTCATTTGTACAACTCCTGGAACATTGGTTTATTTCTGGGACATTCAGGCAATTTGTACCTGTAAAATCCTCAGCACTTAAAGGGACAGTGTATCTATACATGTATCTTTGTGGATAGCCTTGCTGATAGTTTGAAAAGGAAATGTAGAACAAGGCCTTTTCCATGGCACTAATCCAAATTTCCTTTTTTTTTCTGCTTAGGGTACTAAACCTTTGCTGGCTATTATTTTGGTAGAACTCTGCTATTTTAAATCTTCAGTTTCTCAAATTGGTAGAATATTTTTTTTAAAATAATTTAATTTTAAAATAATTCTGATTCTTTAGATCAGAAGATAACTTTTTATTAAATATTATAAAGTTCTTACCATTGTATCTAAACTGGAAGATTTGGGATATACAACTACATGCTTTAAAAAAAAATCTAAAAGCTACTGTATAAGACAGCTTTAAGCTATTCTTCCAAATCACAAAGCTTGACTCCCTTAAATCCAAGCAATCCAGCCTATCAAATTCGTCCCTTGATGAAAATGTTTATAGAAGAGACAGAGAGGGAACTTGATTGTTTTAACATGCTAATACTTTCCAACTTAAAAGCATGAGAGAATCCTTTAACCCAAACAGTATTCTATTGATGTTTTGGGGATTTTTTTTGACAGTTTGAAAGTTTCACAACTTCCTCCTCATGCAAACAGTAGTAACACTCAAGATGACAACCAAATTCTCTTCTGAAGTTTATTTTATGACCCAATTACAGGTTTGCTGCCGGTGTATTTTGGAAGCCTAGCTTTTTGCTACATCTTGGTGTTTACGTGTATGCTGCTCCTTCAATGGCGAAAACAAATCCTTCAGAAGCGCCGTGCAAAAGTCTGGATGAAACAGTTGAAAGCGGAGTCTTATTTTCAACATGCATTGGCTCATAGGGCTGATGAGGAAGCCCAGCCTAGAACAAATACAGCCACCCGCAATCCCGATAACATACTAGACTTAGAACCACAAAGCACTGTCTTACCTAGTGAGAATATTGTGGAGAGCAACGTCAATTCTACCCCTCCACTTCTAGATTCAGCTCCATACAAACCAGTATTTCAAGAAGTTCCATGTGCTTGTGCACTCTCTCACTTGCCGCCACTGCTTGCGCATTCAGCTTCTTACCCTTGCTCTACCATTCCAGCAGAAAGTTCACCATTCAGCTCGCCTCTAAAACCAACCATCTTGAAATATGATCCATACAGTATGGGTAGAAGGATTTCTGCTTAGCGATCAAATGTGACGGATGGGAATATTCTTAAGTGGTTTCAGTTAGAACTCAATTAAAGATCAGTTTCAAACTATTTCCGTTATCATTCAAGCATTGTTTTAATATTGGGAAGACAATCTGCCTTCGACAGCTAGTGTAGAAAGAAATCACTTCAGAAATTAAATTGTATTCAGAATCCGTTCATATATCATGAAACTGAAGTATATGTTCTTTCCAAGGTTTCTAAATCTATATTTCATCCCAATTGTCCAAAGAGCTGAATATTATTACATGGCCATACTTCAATTTTAACTTCACTAACAAATTACATTTTAAAATATATGAGTAATATCCAGATATATCAAAAAGCAAAGTGTATGGAAGTCTTTATAATTAAAACCAGCAAACATTGTTTAGTCCTGAGTGTCTCACATTTCATTAGCAAAGTTAGTTATGGCTAACAAATGGCACTTATAGTGCAGCCTTTTAAAACTTAAAGTAAAATATAGTACAAATTATGGTCCAACTCAGTGAATATTTTGGAGCAACTTATTTTTTTCCAGTGTGAGAGGTAATCTGGGAACAGCAACTGTTTTTACAAATCAGTTTATCATGTTATGCAATTCTAATAGACACAATAGGATTTTTTCAAGTGAACCGCATTATCAAAGAGAAAGCTGAATGCTTCAGTTTATTCTATAACATATTTTTCTAGATGAAATAAAATAACCATTAGACCCAAAACAAACTATTTTATTTAGATTTGACATTCACAATGCATAATAGGTGCAAAATGCAACAGCTAAATCCAGCTTTCATTCACTCCATTAGAGCTTTTACACATTTGTGAGGTCCTATTTTATAAACCATTTCAATTAGTTTAAGTAGGACAATGCAAATCAATTACCTTTATACAATGTAAAACCAGTGTACTTTCAGTGCAGTGGATTCCAATACAAATCCTAAAGAACAAACACTATGATTCACAGCAGAGCATTGTTTTTTAACATTTTAAAGATCAGATTAGTTAATTCATATTCTAAAGGACATAATTTTCATTCTGGAGATATAAAATCAAGACTCTTTTTTTAATAGCATAAAAAGCAGTACCACTTTTAAACTATACCCAACACTCCCATACAAGGAAAACAGGTTTCAATCTTTCAAAACCCTTAAGAATTATTTCCTTTGCAATGTTATGCTTCTCCATACAAATAAACTACCCTTTTCTATAAATCTTAATTTTATTCATTCTTTTCATATGATTATCTGAACAAAAAGATAAGTAATTTTTACTTTTTAAATGCCACTAGAATTTTTTGTGCAATCACAAAAGATACAATACATTCCACTGTTACATTACCCTGTCCCTATTCTTTCTATTCTGAATGTCCCTAATTTTATCAGAGGATTCTATTATTGTGAAATACCTGAATAACCTACTGTGTTTTTCAGACTATAAGACGCACCAGACCATAAGACGCACCTAGGTTTAGAGGAGGAAGACAAGAAAAAAATTAGTTTTTTGCCTTTGTGCGTCCCGTTTTTGCCCTCCCCAGCGACCAGAAGCACTCTACAGGCCAAAAGTGAGTCTTTTTTTTTGGCCTGCAGAGTGCTTCTGGACGCCAGGGAGGGCAAAAAATAGGACGCGCGGAAGGTTTGGGAGACCAAAAACAGGCCCGTGTTTGCTCTATAAGACGTACAGACATTTCCACCCACTTTTTTTTAGGGGGGAGGGAGTGCATCTTATAGTCCAAAAAATACAGTAATTTTTTTAAAAAATAATATATTCATTGGAAGCATTGCAATAAATTCAACATTCATTTGAAGCCTTCTGTTATTACCATGCTAAAAAGATGAGTCCATTTCATGGGCACCCATGAACACTGGGAAAAAAAACCTGTAGCTTAATATCCATACGAACATTTCAAAATCTTGTGTTTTTCTAAAATATGTTACAGCTTCCAGCTATCCTGCTCAGCATGGCTGATAGACAGACATGATATGACTTGTGGCATCAGTTCAATTCAGAAGAGTATTATATCTTAAGGACGATAAAGCTAAAATGGGGGAAATGTTAAGTTTTTGACCAGTGGTTTAGCTAATTCCCATTACTCTTTCTTACATAACATTCCCTAAACAGGCAGGCTCAGCTCTGAAGAATGCTGCATATTCAGTTTCAAATCAATTCTGCTGAACAGCTATTGCACATTGTTAATTAACTGTAAAATAATTTCAAAGAGTGAGCTATTTGAGCCAATTTATAATACTCAGATTGCCATATTTATTTTGCTTTCCTGATAATATGCATAAATTTACTTTAAATGCACAAATATTGCAAATTAGGAGAAACACATAAGACAAACGATGTATATTGAAGGCTCTAATTACATTCAAAAACAGCAAGATAGAATTACTTCAAGATTTTACATGAAGAGTTAGCTTTCTGAAAAGCTTGCAAATAGGGAAAATTTACAAGCTTTTGCACTTCAGAGTTTAGACATTTCATCACTTAAATTTGCTCAGTATGAATGCCTTCTTTCTCAGTGATGACATACACACATGAGGAATGGGGAAATGCTGGTATGCTAAGGACCCTCAGCAATCATTCCAAGTGATACTACCTTCCTTCCTGCTCTATAACATAAAGTATGAATTAACCTTAGGTATTTTTTTCTAATGAAAGCATTCCTTTAATGTAGGATAGTTTTCAAATACATATTTCTCTTACGGTACAGTATTGAGTTATTGAATTCAGCTTCTAAATTGGATCAGAAATTTTGGAGTGAGATTTCTGTTACAACAAAAATGTTCCTGAAAGCAATCCCTAAAAGTGCTCATGATAATCAACTTAATACTGAGATTAAAAGTCATTCTTTTCATATGGATCATAACAAGCCACCTTTAAAAAAATACCTTCAATATTTTGCTATACAATCATATGACATACACACATACAAATACTGTTATATTTAATTGTTATTGCTTTATTTGGTCAATGGTTTTTATACACAAAGCATATAAAATTAATTTTATCCAAAAGAATACTGGTGTTCAGTTATGAACACAATATGAATTTTGAGCTTTAATGGATATAGCTAACATATAAATTTAAGGAAACAATTTGCATTCTGGATAATTGTCTAGATAAGGGAATCTGGTTTTCCAAAACCTGTTCATTAAATTTTTGGAAGGCATCTGTTTACATCATATTCTAGTACACCAGTGCTCAGTACTTTGATAGAAACCACTGCCATTATGGGCAATGAAGATTCCTGAGAACTTAAAATTTGCTAAACTAAAAGCTGTAAAGAAAGCCAACAATTATGACAGCATTCTACTCAACATATCCTTTAAAAATAGATTTACAGTAATAGTGGCACATTAGAAAATCTTGCTGTATTTGGTTTGTACAGGGAATAATGCTTATCTGAGGTTATTTATTAAACGAAATCCTACTGTTTGTTTGCCTGACAACACCTGATGTTTTCAATAACCAAAACAAAACACAGCAGCTTAAAATGTTTTGAATTTCCAAGTTTATAGCTCACACTACATCATCAAAAGTGACTTCACATTCACAAACACATCTGTTTTTTTTAATAAGGCAAAAGCTTACTAATCTTGATAGTATATAGGAAGATGCTGTACTCCTAGTGGAAATCTTTCTCAAACTTCAATTTAAGAAAAAGGAGATTTAATTATCTGGAAAAAAATAGCACGTCCATGCCACAATCTCAATCCATTTGAACCTCACATTGGAATTAATGTTAAAATAAATCAGCAAACCACAGAGTGAAAATGCAAAGTTGTACTTAGTACAAAATATAATTTGGTCCTTATCATCTTATTCTTCTCTTGAGAGTATCCTAATTATTGTTAATATTAACTACTAACCATTAACACCACTTTTAATCCTCTGTTAAATTGGGAAAGGTTAATTGAATTAGGTATCACCAATACAATGGGAAAAACTGAAGTAAATATTGCAGTGTTTCCAGCAGGAATCCTTCTTCATAAAATTATTATAACTGAAAATAGCAATGAATCTGTGATTTAGTTAAAATCAGAAGAAATTATTATTCTTACAACCTGTTTCTCTGAATGTCTTTTTATCTCAATTTCAAGAATTGAAGTCTCCTTTAGAGTCTGGCATAAAAGTTAGTACTTGAATAGCACAAAACTTACCAGTGATTCACAAACCAATATAGGAAAGGAGTGTCATACAAGTGTAATTCCTAGCAAGAAGCAATGTTTTCTATTATCGACTTTTACTTAATACAAACTGGAACACTAATTACTTTTGATGAAAATTAGACCCAAATATGTATAAGTTATTCTAGTTTAAATATTTACAAATGGAAGAATCCCATCCTGCAAATCAGATTTTTATATTTTATTCTAAAGTGCAGCTAATTTAAGGCAAATCTGAAATATAAAATCAAGTTTGTCAATATATACACATATTTTAACTTGAAGACGAGCTTCCCTTATAAGGGAAATAAGAACTCTGAGATAAAATTCTTCGTGTAGTCATAAGGTGCAATTATCATTTTCATTACAATTATTCAATGCAATGCAATGCAATCCTGGGGCTGTGATCCAGGACAAATAAAATGTCCCTAGTTCTGTGGGAATCCAAACCAATGCAATAATGTATTTGCTATTAATAGGCCCTGTTTGCATAAACAAATTTAAGCATGGCTATTTACCCCTCGATCAGGGCCTCAAAAGTTGGAAAATCTTTCAGGGGTCAACATATCTAATGTTACAGCAGATAAAAATATAAAAGCTTTTCGCTGTTTTCCAAATAATAGAAATCTTAAAGGTGTCAGCTGATACACTAAATTAACTTCAAAGACTAGTAGATCACTGGGAAAAGTGCTATAAGTAGCTTTTACTTATTCAGTTGGTTTTTAAAAAACAAAAACAAAACAATAGCTACTGTAGTCCTTCAATACTGTGTTTATAAGAAAAGATACTATAGACCCAATGCTACTTTCAGTTCTGATATAGAATATCTTCCATCTCCATCTTCATCAAATTCCTGAAAACTCTGTGGATCATGCACTATAGATCCAACCAGATTTTCCAGGTCTTCATATGATAACTTGTCATTAATGCCTTGGCTAGAAGTCCTGAATAAATTCTGAAGATCTGCAAGGGCAAAAAATTTTTTTATAAAAAACCATTCATTGCTCTCTCCTGAATTCAATCACCCCAAACTTCTATGATCTGTACAAGTCAGTTGCAATGGTGTTAGCTTAAGAAATAACTTGATTGTGCCAATAATAGCATCATGTCCCTCAAACTCAGTCTCCTTACTGTCAGCACTGATATTTCTATCATGGATTATTTAATTAGAGTTGTTCATTCATCTGCAATTCAGAAAATGCAATTTGGTATACATTTATTAAACTAAGGCTATTTTCATTATGTCTAGGATGTCTAAAATTACTATTATGGTTGATTAAAAACCACAAAAAGTCAATATTGCTTTGTAATGGAGAAAGAAATGGTAAGAAACCAGATTGCAACCTTGTTTTCAATTTACTAAACTACGGAAAATCATTATGTCTGAGCTGACCCCAAAACAATAATGATACGTATGCATTAAACTAGCAGAAATAACACTAAACATTTGGAAAGAGATAATGGCTAAATATTAATGTATGTCAACTGTCTCAATATAGCTGATTATGTGCTTCAAGTATTCAGAGTAGACTGTAGTATAACAACCCATTTTATATTGTTTTTATACATTTTAGCTAGGTTCAGTATATTTCTTTTGTTACTTTAATATTTTCAATTGGATAACCTATGGCAAGACCCCAATACAAAATATTTAAGAAAATCAAGGGATAATTAGGACATGGGGATCCTGCAAAAACAGAGAGTCACCCTTTTTTCTAACATGGTCTATTCTAAACCATGGGTGTCAAACTCGATTTCATTGAGGGCCGCATCGGGGTTATGTTTGACCTTAGGGGGCCGGGGTGGGCATGACCAAGGGTGGGCATAGCCAGTTTAACGTCACTTGTGTTGGGGGTGCCTGTGGTGGTTCAAGAGCTCTGCCGGTGAAAACGGAGCTGGGGAGGTCCGCAGAGGTACCAAGGGCCAATCCTTTGCTGTTTCCAGGACAGCCCCGCAGGCCAGATCTAAGCACCCCATGGGCCGGATCCAGCCTGTGGGCATTCAGTTTGACACCCATGATCTAAATGAATATTTTTCAAAGCTATTATGGCTAACAAAGAAACAGATGAACTGATGATGGGATTAAGTATCTCTCTGTAATCCCAATTCTGCTCATCCCACCTGAAACTAGCAGCTATTTATCCCATCTCAAAGAGGTATACACAACCAAACATTTACCATCATAAATAAATCCTAATATATTCAATCATTTTTCCATTTCTAAATGTAGTCTCCCAATTTAAATTTGTAAAGACAACTCTTTGACATCTATAGATCCAAATTTATTAATTTCTGGAATCCTTTGCACACAAAACATGGGTTCTTGTTCCATGTCTAAAAACTTCAACTTTACCTTCTATGTTGGATATTCCAGGTAAAGACAAGCTTCTTGGGTGTCGACTTCGCTCAACATTATTGCCAAGTGATCTTGAAGAAATTATTGGAAGTTTTGTAGGCTCTGATGTCATGCTCTGTGGATTTTCTACTGTCAAAGCAATTTTACAGTAGTCATTTATTTTTCTTATTTGATAACAGCAAATATCATGCATCAAGGGGGAGGGAGGGGACGTTAAAATGGTATAAAGCAGTCACAAGCAATATTAGCAGATTTCAAATGTGTTCTAGTTCCACTCATACTAAAGTAAATAATAAGCATATAGACTGACTGCCTTCTAGAGATTGAGAAACAAGAACTAGTGCTTGTTTTTTAATCAAATCATCAATTTCAGTTTGTTTTCAGTTTATATGTTAAATTAAAGCTGGAAAAAAAATCTGAAGTGATTAATCTTGGTCCGATTTTTTTTTACATCTCAAAAACTTGGCATTTTAACAGGGGTGTGTAGATTTTCTACATCCACTGCAAATCCTATTGTAGCTCATGATAAATGGGGACTCTCAGCAGGTCTACCTTAGGTGACCTAGTTACTGACATCTGGAGTAGATACTCTTTTAAAAATCCAACTCCAAACCATATAGGATGTTAAAGGTGGTAATAAGCACCTGTAAACCAAGTGGCCAACAATACAGATCATGCGGAAATGTGAAATATGATTATACTAGGCAGCACCAGTTAGTTGCATTCTACTACAACTAGTTTCCAAATGTTCTCCAAGGGTGGCCCCCAAGTGGAAACTGACAAACATATAAATTCTGAAAATGATGTTCAATTCTATGAAATATGACAATTAAAAGATTTAGTTCAGAAGCTTGAATTCAAATGCTAGCCAGTAAATAAATCTCCATACCTTCAGGTATGCATTTGGAAACAGATAACAATTTGTTAAAGTAAGTTAGTAATTAAAGCATGATAAAATAAAATTAGCTTGATATTCTAATAAAATATGCAAAGTGACATGTATATGAGATGTTTACCTTTAAGTGCTTCAGATCGTTCACTATCTGATTTGCTTGACAGAGCATTAATCAACTGCAGCTTTTCTTTTAGTTTGGATACCTGAGATTCTCCATTTTCTATTTTCTGTAGATTACCAATTAAAAAAAAACTCTAAAGTAGCCCTGTATGTTCTACTTTGATTGCACAATACAAAATCCACTGTATCATTTATATATTTCTAGCAAGTATATTTACCTTTTTTCCTAATATTGTAACTGCAAATACTATAATTTTGATGGTTTCAGAACTATCAATGTGAAAAGGGAATTGGCAATGTCAAAATCCAGCAGGAATTTTATTTTAATTCCTATCAACAGTAACTAATTTCAGGTATTGTTATACCAAGTCATAGTTCTATCTATAAGTTGAATAAACTAAATTAAAATGATTCTCTGCTGTACTTCTCTTACATGACTGTATATTGAATTAATCAATCTATGATTGACATAAATACACAGTAAAGCCTGTTTTATTGGTAAAATTAGCATTCTCTCCTCAAATCTTAAAGCTAAAGTTCTGGTGTAAATCTCTGCTGTAATGGTACTCTATAATTGCTCATATTCTTAAAATGTGACTAAACCCCTGGTTAATTAATGACTTTAATTAGTCATTAGCTACAACATAAAATAACCTGAGTAGTTTTGCAGCATGAGAATTATCCTTAGAAACAACTGAAAAAGTTTTTTTGAATATATTTTGCCTTGTGAATGTATGACCTTTAAAAGCATGTTTTTCTTTCCATCAAGATATTATTATATCTAAGGTTTTGAACGAAGAGGAAAGTTGAAGTGATGTTCTAATGCCCCAAAGAGAAATATTTTATTATATTTTAAAGTATTTTTAAAAAGAATAAGTTATTGACTTTCAGCATTAAATAACAGCCAAACTCACTTCAGTCAATTGGTGACCATATAATTAAAGTTCTGAAATGTTTGAAACAAAAATGCTTTGTTCTCCCAGATACAAAAAGACACAAGAACATGTTTTCAAGAGTCTTGTACACTTTTTAGTTAAACAGAACTCAACATAGGTAAATAAACAAAGCTACATATTGTGTTTCATCAGCTTTGGAGCAGTTACACATTTAATATCAACCACTGTAAAAGCTAAAATATCATTTTACTTGCTTCCATTTTGTTTTTAATGCAGTACTGAAATTTATAAAGAAACAAAAAGTGTATGTGAAACTGTAAATTTACTGCTATATAGTTTATCCTTAATTTTTTAAATTTTTTATTATTTTTTTCAAGGCTGAACCAATATCTTCTTTTCAACTTTTCAGCTCACACGGAATTTTTGTTTTTACAAAATGTGAATGGAGAAAAATATATATGGGCTATGAACCTCAGTTGTTTTGTCATTTCACTTGAGTTGGTTACCTTACTCCTCTTACCCTCAAAGTCAGGAAGACAACTCAAGGGGGTTCTAAAAAAAATCTCTTTTGCTATGGCTCTCCAAAACTTACCTCCATATTTTCTACTTTTTCAGCAGTTGTTTCATTTCTTGATTCATTTTTCACATTTACCGAGGTAGTTAGGTTACTCACCTGTAAGGGACAGTATAATGCATGTGTTTGCTTGTGGCATACTATCCTGCACAAGCAACATGTTGCAAGTGTTTCATTCCCAAAATATTTAGACACTTACCATACCAAAGGTAAGGTTCTTTCTGTTTTCTGGTTTATTCACAACAAACATATGATTTTCTAAGGAAGTAACTTTCCAGCTTAGATTGGTGACTGTGGAATCCAGATTGAAAAATTTTAAATCATTCAATTTCTGATGTAACATTAGGGTAGAGTTCATCTCCTCTATAGAGATATGTAGATATTGGTTATCCTGTTTAACAAAAGAAAATCATTACTTTGCTATAAAAGCAGTGGAACAAGGTTACTGAAAATAAGCAGAACATAATCTTAATGAATCTAGTACACTATAAACTATTCTCTGTAGCCTTTTCAAGTTCAACAGAACAAATTGTGTATCAAAGGAATATACAATCACCTCTTGAGTTACAACCACTCGTTTAGTGACTATTGAAAGTTACAATGGTACTGGAAAAAATGACTTATGACTGTTCTTCACACGATCTTGCGGCATCCCTATGGTCACGTGATCAAAATTCTGACGCTTGGCAACCAGCATATATTTATGATGGTTGCAATGTCCTAGGGTCATGTGACCATCTTTTGCAAACGTCTGAGAAGCAAAGTCAGTGGGGAAGCCAGATTCACTTAACAATCATGTTACTAACTTTACCACAGAGAATCACTTAACAACTGTGGCAAGAAAGTCGTAAAATGGGGCAAAACTCACTTAACTGCCAAGCTTAGCAAATGGAAATGTGCTCAACCACAAGTCAAAGACAGAAGCAGAATTAGATGTTATCTCATGCACCTCTTCTCTGATGCAGGCCAATTTCAGTGGCTATCATGGATTCTGCACAACCATTAAACTATTAGAATGCCATTGTAGTTTTGTGAACATATTTATTCTTGGTTTTTAAATTATTAAATTTAAATTAGAACTGCAGAAAATAACAACTGCTACCAATCTGCCTTCCACTGAGGATCTGTATACTGCACAAGCCAGAAAGAGGGTTGTGAAAATATCTACAGACACCTCCCCACCCCCAACATCCTGGACATAAACCGCTTCAACGTCTATCCTCAAAATGACACTATAGGGCACTGCAGGTCAGAACAACTAAACATAAGGACAGTTCCCCACACCCCCCATGCCATCACTCTGCTAAACAACTAATTCCTACAACACTGTAAAACTATCTAGAGAGGCAGTATTACCATCTTTATTCTCATCTTCCCTATTACCTATCTCCTTATCTTGTAATTTTGTTACTTGTACCTTACGATTTATATTGTTTACTTAGTATCCTAGTATGATTTATGCTGATTGCTTATTTAGTATCCATGCCTATCACTAAGTGTTGTTATCTAATGTTTTATGATGAATGTATTACCGCTATTACCATGACTATGATAATCTATCACTATTGTTGTATGTACACTGACAGTGTATGCACCGGAGACAAATTCCTTGTGTGTTTAATCACATGTGGCCAATAAAGAATTCTAAATTACTCAACCTACGTCAGGTGGCTAATAGGAAGATACGGGGACCAATTCAGTAACTGTTTGATACTTGGGAGTGTTTAAACACTGAATAATTGTTTTACGGAAAGGGCATCTTTTTTCTATCTTGGATGCGATACCTAAGTCCTTATCATATTGCAACTACTCTCAACAATTATATGATAGATGCATCTGAAGCAACAGCAATAGCTTCTTGACTAGTTATTCTTTTCATTCCAGAGGCACTATAAGTATCAGCATTTGTGTTCCAAAAATAATACTAAATAGTAGTATAACAATGCAAAGCTATCCTGGCTTCATTTTAACATAACAGTTTTGAAACCGTGATTTCCAAAGCTTTTAAAAGCAAAAGAGCAGCACCTGTTTACAAATGTTCGTCATATTCTTTTCATTTATCTGGGGGACAGAAGAGGAGGAAAAGGAAGGTAAATGCTTTTGTCTAACATCTTCTGTGTGTTCATTCTGAAATATATTAAGACATGTGTTCAAACCAGTTATTATTTGAATATTCATAACCCATCAAGCATAACACTTATTTACATTCCGCAAATAATTGAAGGAGAAGAAAGCAAAAAGAAGACAGTAAACCTTTTGCGAGCAGCCATAAAATACTGGCATTTGCTTTACTTGACATTAAATTTGAATTTAAGGTTTTTATGCAGGAAGAATATGAAGCAGAGTTATAGCTAGAAAAGTGAGGTGTCTGAATAACTAACCGCCTAAAATGTGATGTGCATAAAACAGTCAATATCTACAAATCTGATTATATAAATTTTACAAATTTAAATTGGTTTTAAGACCAGATAAAGTTTAACGAACTTATAAGAACATAAAATATATTCCACTTAATATGGTAAACTATAAACATCATTTTTTCTTAATAAATCCATAGGGGGTTTTAAACAAGAAAATAGGGAAAAACAAGCTTCAGCCACTTTTATTTTTAAATTGCATACCAAATCTGAAATTCTTATAGGATGAGCTATAGAATGTGCTTTTGTGAAATGTCTATAAATCCTTACTATTTCTTTTTGGAGAGTTTCTAGAGTCTTCTTTTGCTCTTCAATTGCTGCTTGCATGGCCTCAACATCATGATGAACACTAGTTACTGTGCTACCTATAGTAGCAACAGTCTAGGGAAAAAACAACAGCAAATCTTTTAGCATTGGACATTCATTGATCAACTAACTGAAATTCAAATGTGTTTACTCCAGTGAGGAATTATTTTAATTGGTTACATTAAACACAAAGAATGTACATTAACAAATCCCATTTATAACAATATGAATAACAATTTATGTTCTTGGATATATTTAACTGGGAACATATATCACATTTGAAGAATATGGAATCAGGTCTGTGGATAAAATAAGTCACTTTGTATCGCTCCATTGAAATCACTTCCACATCAAAGCTTATATAAAGTATACGTTGTAGTGTATACACACAACCAGACAATATCATTTATATTGCCATATACCCACAAAGGTTCCAACTGCATCGGCATTCTATGTGCTTGGATATGCAAGAAAAGATACATCCTATGATGAACTGTTTTCATATTTGGAGAAAAACATGCAAACAGATATTTGTAAAAGTGTTTAGAAACACAAACATCTAGTATTATCAGTTCTATTATCAGATCACAAAGTATGATGCAAATTACTTTCTGGATTATAGGAAAAATATATGCTGGAAATACAATCTGTCAAAAGTATTGCATTTAGCTTACATATAGAAAAAGGAACTCACTTCCAGGCAAGCCAACATAATATTGCCTATAAGCATATAAACAATTCTGAATATATTACTTATGCCCAATTTTACTGGTGGGCCTTATTACTGCAAAGACACTGAAATCACCACTACTAACTGTCACCTATATTCTTCCTACAAGTGATTTGTATCATTGGTGAAATATACCATTTTTCATGGTCTAGTCACATGAACTGGAAAGCAGGATTTCAAAAGTTTTACAAATATTTTTTTATGTTTCCTTCATACATTTTCAAAAAAAAAAAGGGATTAAAAACACAATAAAATATAGTTCCTATTAGGAAGGAAAGACACAATGAAAAGCTCTGTACTTGTCAACTTATCTATAGCACAAAAAATTCTAAAGATAGATTAGTATTGAATATAATACATACTTTCTGAAGCTCTTCCACTGTAACAGGAAGATTAATTAAATCAGAAGCAGATTTAATATTTGCTTTGAGATGATTTACTGCCAACATCAGCAAAGATATCTGTAATCACAAATGAAAGAATGACTTTACAGGACAGATTTTTATCTTTTCTGTTGTAAAGGTTCATCCTAAGGTCATGTTATGAATGTGTTACTGTTGAGTTATCAGGACTGAAGACTGACTCAAAGGAACAAACCTAAACAACAGATATTCCCCTTTATTGCTGCCCAAGGTGGTGCTGATACACTTCTACAGAGGAATTTTTGAGTCTATCATCTGCACCTCTATAACTGTCCAATCAAGACAAGCACCGACTTCAACGGATAATTAGAACTGCAGAAAAAACAATTGCTACTTATCTGCCTTCTGTTGAAGACCTGCGTGTATACTGCATGAGCCAGAAAGAGGGTTGTGAAAATATCTACAGACACACACACACCCTCACGTCCTGGACATAAACTGTTTCTACTTCTACCCTCAAAACGAAGCAATAGGATACTGCACATCAGAACAACTAGAGCTAAGGATTTCCCCCCCCATGACATCACTCTGCTAAATAATTCCCACAACACTGTAAAACTATCTAGAAAGGCAGTATTACCATCATTATTCTCATCTTCCCTATTACCTTTCTCCTTATGTTCTTATTATACCTTTGTTTATATCTTACGATTTATATTGTTTACTTAGTATCCTAGCATGGTTTATGTTGATTGCTTATTTAGTATCTATGACTATCACTAAGTGTTGTATCTAACGTTTTATGATGAATGTATTTTTAAAATGACTATGATAATGATCTATCATTATTGTTGCACCAGAGACAAATTCCTTGTGTCTAATCACACTTGGCCAATAAAAAATTCTAAATTCTAAACCCTATTGGTAAACAAAGGACATTCTATTGCCCAATATAGAAAATGTTCAGTAGAATGTAATATGAACTGACTAAATTGAGTGATTAAAAGTGCTATTTAACACTATTTTTGATGCAACTTTACTTGAACAAATGCTTGCTCATTTTACCTGTTTGCTTATTTCAGTGATGTTTATCCATATTTTGTTTATCCCCAAATCTCCATTCTTAATTTTTTCCAATTCCTTTTCTTTATTACGGAGGTCTTCGGTCATTTTGGGAATTTCTTGAAATGAGTTTTTTTGATTAGATTCCACTAAAATAGAAAATTAAATGAATCTGAATGGATTAATGAATGAATCTGAAAACATGAACATAATTTCTTTCAGGCTCTAATTCAGAATATCTAAGAGGCTATGACTCTCATGATGAATATGCACAAGTTCTTTGGGAGATATTCCCAGCTTTAGAAGCCCATTATCGTTTCATAATATGCAGAAGAACCTGTTCTCTTGCACTGTTCCCAAATTATGGGAATTGCATTTGGTCTCCACTGTCTTGTATTTAGAAACATTATCTCTAGTTCATTATATTAATTTGATACTTAACATTTAAGATTCTGCAGGGATTCTGCTTTGTCTTAAGAAACTTGCTAGAGTAGAAAAAAACAGAGTATAATTCAAGTAAACAACAAACATTTTCTTTCAGGTCTCAGGTACCCTTCCCAGTGCATTTATTGTACCCATTTTTCATAAAACATTAAAACACAAGACACCCCATGCCCTATTGGGTCATCCTTTCAAAGATATTTCCTTACCTAAACAAAGAAACAAAGACCATAGGTGAACAAAACAATTGTGGAGTGGGAGCCACTTCAAACTTTCTGCCTGCTTCCCCATTGAGTTTTCATGTGGGAAGTTGGTAGGTAGCATCAGAAAATCTCCCTCCCTCCCTCCCTCCTGGCTTGTCCATTTATTTTGCTTGTGGGAAACTTGCAGGAAGAAGTTAGCAGGGAAGCCAGCAGAAAGTTTTTCTCCCCCTCTCACCAGGCAGTAGTGCAGGGGTGTGCATAAAAGAGGTGCTGCATGAGACAGGGAAGGCATGCAGGGCTGGCAGCACCAGTCAAGAGAAGAAACGGGGGTGGGGGAGGGGGTATGTGTAAGACACAGAGCAGGGGGGGGGGGGGGGGGGGCGCATAGCATGGGCTGGGGGGTTTCTTCCTCCATTTCTGCTCCCTTCCTTTCCAGCTGCTGGATGGGAGAGGGGCTGAGGAATTGTGATATTAGTTGGGAAGCCCTCACAGGTCATTGAAAATGAAGATCATGTGACCACCGCAGGAGTGCAGCACCACCAGAAGCAGCCACATCTTTCCCAAATTTCATTCCCTTGGGAGTCACGGGTCCTGGGTTTTGTAAATTAGCCCATTTGAGGTACACTTTTAGTTCAAAAATTGTTGCTGTGTGATGCACCCTTTTGCTCAGTTAAAGGTCATGACAATCAGAGTTCCAGTAGTATATACTGTAAGTATCTATGCCAATATATTTATACTTTTCCAATCCATAACTGATGACATATAACTCAGTGTTTGCTAGTAATAATGAAATTGAAATCCAGTACACTGATAATAGAAGCAAGCTGTTGTAAACTAGCAAATCAATAAACTTTTAGGATCAAAACATTTTAACTTTTATTTACAGAATGCAATCAAATTGTCGTAAACACACCTTAAAATTGATCACAAAATATTTGATTACATTTAGTAAGCATGTGCTGTTTTTCCATATGACTAAGACTCTATTTTCTGCAGTTTTGCAAAAAACATTTTTACATGTAAAAGATGCATTAATAATAAAGGAACTCACAATTGGAAGGTCTGTTAAGCATGCCATTAATCACAAATACTAGCACTAGCAAACAAAAAAATTATGTTCATGCTACTGAGTTCTTATTAAGTATGATATAACCCAGCAACTCCCTACATGAAGGAACATTGTTTTCTTAAGTATGATTGACATTACTAAGATTCCAATAGTAGTTTAACAATTGAATAAACTGCTTTAGGCGATTCTCATTGGCTGGAGCTGCTTAAACAAAGAACAGATGACCACCAATCACAGATGTTGTAATAATACATTCCTTTACTGGGCAGGGCGGTGGACCACTGATCTCCAAGGTCCTTTTCATTCTTTGTTTAATTTCAAAATCCCTTCAGAAAAGATGTTAATTACATCAATCCAAAGGTTAAAAAAAAAGCATAAGCTTTCAATATCTCCATCAGGGAATATTTTAAAACACAGAAGTAGAGGATGAAGGGAAAAAAAGATAATACATATAGTCCTTGACTTATAACAGTTCATTTAGTGACTGTCCAAAGTTACCAGAGCCCTGAAAAAGTGACTGATGATCATTTTTCAGCTACAACCTTTCCAGCATTCCCATCATCATATGATCAAAATTCAGATGCTTGGCAACTGATTCATATTTATGACTGTTGCTGTGTTCCAAAGTCATGTTGCAAACTTTCTGACAAGCAAAGTCAATGGAGAAGCCAGGTTTAGGTGACAACTTATCAGCTGCAGTGATTCACTTAATAACTGAGGCAAGAAAGATCATTAAACAGGGTTAAATTAACTTAACAAATGTCTCAATTAACAGCAGAAATTTGGGGCTCAATTGTAGTTGTATGTCGAGGACTACCTGTACTGAAATATAAAATCTGCACAGTCCATATCAAAATTAGAATGTAGGAGAGGACAGCAATTAGGATCTCCCCTGGTGCAGAGATTGTCTCAGGTTATAACCAAGACAGATGCAGCTATTTCTGAAATAGAGCTGTTCCAAATATTGAAAATATAAAATATCCCTGCTCTCTGAAATGAGCATCCATTCATTCTTTACTTGCTTTATACAACTTTCTGTACGATAAAGAAAATTTGCCTAAACATACTTACTTTCTATCAGATTAAAACAAAACTGTTTTTGCTTTTGGTAAAATATTCTTAAGAAAATGGGAATATATAATTTTGCCCGTAATGCATGCTAGCTAAAAGCAAGATATATGCTAATTTCTTCCCTGAAAACATTATAGAGATGGCAAATATTTGACATTTGAACTTACTGGTTCTAAATCTTTCCTTTAATCCATCCAGATCTTCTTTGAGAGCAACTTGCATCCATACCAATCCAACACAGGCCACCATACAAGCAGCCAGGATGATAAAAGTACATAACAGGCAGCAGAGTTTGCAGCATCGCAGGTAGTCCCCCCTACATGAAAAATGTTTTAAATTGGTATTTGCTAACAGAGCTAAATATTACATTAAACCGATACCTTACTAAATTCAATGTAGGAAGCAATCGTGCTTTTAAACTCTATATACTTGTACTATACCAAATATAAAATTCCATGCTATGAAAAATTAGGAATAAAAACAAAACTGCCAATATTGTATTGTCCTTGTATAAATATATGGCATGTCTGTATTTGAAATATTAAGTTTAGTTCTGTGCTTGAAAAACATAACACAGCAAAAAAAAAAAAAAAAAAGCATAATAGGGCAACCAAAATGATCAAGGAGATTAAACAACTATATAAGAAAAGGCTATAATATTTGGGATAGTTTAGCTTAAAGAAGAGTGATGAGTTATGACTATAAACGTATATTAAATATGCATAGATCTCGGAGAAGAACAAATAGTGTTATTCTACATCAGTGGTGGCTAACCTTTTTGGGCTCCTGTGCCAAAAATTGTGTGCGCGCTTCCACACTCACATGCCAGCACCCAGAAGGCAATGCGTGCCCCCCACAGACCCTATGCATGCGTGCACAATCCCCACCCACCCACGCCACCCCCTTACCTGCACTGCGCCTCACAGCTGATTTTCGGTTTGAGGCCTTTTTCAGCCTCCCAGAGGATTGAGGAAGGCTTCTGCAGGCTTTGCTGACCGAAAACTACCCCCGTTTCGTCACTTCCGGTATTTTCGGAAAAACAGGAAGTGATGAAATGGGGCTAGTTTTTGGCCTGCAAAGCCTGCAGAAGCCTTCCTCAAGTCTGCGGGAGGCCCAAAAGGCCTAAAACCGGTCAAAAATCAGCTGTGAGGCGCACGCATGCGCAGTGAGGTACGTTTGCCTGCAGCTCGCATGCCGGCATAAATGGTCTGCATGCCACCTGTAGCCCAAGTACCATAGGTTCACCATCACGGTTCTACACAAAGCCTGAGACAGAATTGTGAAGTTGAACATGTTAAAAAAAATACAACAAAGTACCTTATCCCACAGGAATATGTGTAGAAACATTACAAAGGAAAAACAAATGTACAACAAATGCTAATAAAAGCAAATTATGCTTTGATATATGTTTATGTACTACTGTAACCAAAATCATATTATGGAATCTAACAGTATAATCTCTGCAAGCTAACAATATTCAAACAGAAAGAATGACAGTATCATTCTTCCCCATACCTGCATCATTAAGCAGAGCCCAAGAATAACACCAGGACAAGTTGTACAAGTAACACACCCATTACTATGTCAGGGAAGGCTAATTCTCCAACCTGTATTGCTGTCATACCCAGCAATTGTTTTCAGTTCTAGCTGTGCTCAGCAATTTGATGTTCTCCAAATGAATTATGATTACAACTACTATCCATCCAAAACATCTAGCAGCTGAAGACATTAAATTACAATCCAACACAAATTCAAAGCAACAGATTGAAGATTATGTTAATAATAGTGCTATTCTAACCACTATATTTTCTGACTTACACTCATCCCAAATCCAACTTTACTTCTCAAGGCCTGTTAACTCAGCTTCTTCAAAATTCCGAGTTGATTACAGGTAGTCCTCAACCTACGACCACAATTAAGCCCAACCCCTTTATGCTGCTAAGTGAAAAATTTGTTCAGTGAGTTTTGCTTCATTTTACGACTTTTCTTGCCCCGTTTGTTATGAATCTGGCTTCCCCCATCGACTTTGCTTCTCAGAAGGTTGCAAAAATTGATCACACGATCCCAGGACACTGCAACCATCATAAATGTGAGTCAGCTGTCAAGCCTTTGAATGTAAAGCACGTAACCATGGGCAAAGGTCATAAGGGTGAAAAACCGTCACCAGTCGCACTTTTTTCCGTGCTGTTGTATGGTCACTAAGTGGACTGTTGTAAGTCGAGGATTACCTGTATAAACCGAAACCCGTTCAGCGTCTCTTCCTCTCCCTAAAGCGCCACATCCCTTTCCAATCCTAAACCTCCTCCTGACCCCCACAGACAATCCTCGGCTCCCCTATCCCTGCCTATCCCATCCCTGCTTTCCCAGCCACCTTCCTCCCCTTCTCCCTGGATTATCCGGGTCTCACTTAGAAAAGCGGGCGCGGGAGCCCGGCAGCCCGAATCTGTCCCCGTAATCCGGATCAGAGGAGCTGCTGGTGACGCTCTCGGCAGACTCGGTGCGGAGCAACCGATGACCCGAGGCAGAGCCTTTCCTGGGATGCTTCTTTTTGAGCCGGCCGCCTCCGCCGTTGCCGCTTCCCCGGTCGCCGTTTCCACCGCTCGCGAGGCCTATGAGCGCGTTCAGCTCCTTGCGCTTTTTCATCCTCTTCTGCTGAGCCGGGGCGAGGCCCTGGGGAGCCGAGCTCCGCAACGGAGGAGGGGCTCCTAATTCGGGGCCCCGGCTCGCCAGCTTCAGCGTTTCCGACGTTCACCGCCCAGGCGGGCGTCTCAAGAAGGCCGGGCGGGATCTCTTAGGCTTCGCCGATGCCGTTGTGGCCGGTTCTTCTTCCCACCGGCTTTAGCTGCCGCCGCAGAAGCCCCAGCCATGGCCGTGGGAAGAACATCGCTTCCTCTTGCTCCTCGCCGACCAAAGGGCTGGAGCCGTTCGTTGCTAGCACCGGAGGCACCGATTGGAGGGTTTTGCTCGTCGGCCAGAATCTACCAGTATCCCCTCCTCCTATTGGATAAAAGGATTGTTTTTCTTCCCTCTGCCTTCTTCCCTATTGGGCTATGTTAGCCTTTTTTTCATTGGCTAGTGACATTTACATCCGGGGAACTGGTTAAGACTCGTCCACAGCGAGGAGTGTAACTAAATCAACCTATTTAAAGGGCCAAGACTAATAGAGAGATAAATGGAATAAATTAGAATGACGCTTCACTTGCAAAGATGATTGAATAGATCTTCTTGAGGAAATGCCGTTGGATCAACGACTCTGCTTCAAATGGCATTAATTACTTTAGGGTCGAAAAAAAGACATACTGACTAGAGAGTAAAATGTCAAACATCATAGAGAAAAAAGGCAAAAAAAAAAGGAGCTTACAATGTAGTTGCTGTGGGAATTACAAAAGGTCAGTACTAGAAACTTCAGAAAACCCCTTTAAGAAAAGCAAGAAGCATCAGCTGAAAGAAAAACTCAGAGCAGCCTGCAGTAGGCTGTTACAAAAGTAACAAAAGCTGACCACAGAAATACTTAAATAGAGCCATTAAGATAAGGGGAATCAGGCTAAAAATAAACTCTCCAAGATAAATCAAAATTCCCCTTTTCCTGCCCCTGGGCAGGAAAAACAAAAGACCTGGGACCAGTGGTGGGATTCAAATTTTTTTTACTACTGGTTCTGTGACCGTGGCTTGATAGGCATGGCAGGGGAAAGGATACTGTAAAATCTCCAGTCAGAGGTGGTATTTGCCAGTTCTCCGAACTACTCAAAATTTCCACTACCGGTTCTTCAGAACTGGTCAGAACCTGCTGAATACCACCTCTGCCTGGGACCAAGATTAACCCAGTAAAACAGTAAAACAAAACCCAGGACAATCAGAAACACATCAAAACCCATAAAGCTACAGGAGCTTCCAAGGGGAATTAAGCATAAAAGGTTCAGATTCATACTTCCAAGCTGCTTTCAAGCCAGGAAAGCTCAGCTGTGTCACTTTTTGCTTCTTGTCTTCCTACATTAACAGAATTCCACTTTCTGGCAGCTGGCTTCTACATCCATTTCTTCTCAGTGTGTGGTGTGTACCAGCTAGGAACAAACTCAGGAAATTTCTTCCAACACTGGAAACTTCTGAATTCACCCAAACTCCCCAGACAGGATGGTTGGAAATTCAGAAAAGGGGTGGGGTAGTGAAGATAATGTGGCTTTTTAAATTACTACATCAAAGCATGTAAACCAATTTTTTTTACTACTGGTTCTGTGAGCGTGGCTTGGTGGGCATGGCAGGGGAAGGATACTGTAAAATCTCCAGTCAGAGGTGGTATTTGCTGGTTCTTTGAACTACTCAAAATTTCTGCTACCGGTTCTCCAGAACTGGTCAGAACCTGCTGAATACCACGTCTGATGTAAACTGGTGGAATGTAGTTCAAATATCAGCCACATTTTGCCTCCTCCTTTCCCCATTCCCCTTTGGAGCAGCTTGTTAGTTGAAATTTTGTATCTGGAAAACTTGTATTGCCTTAATAAAGCTGTGGCTTCTATGATTAATCTCAAAAATCTACCAACCTAATTTTTGATTAATCTCAAAAATCTAACAACCAAACCCAGGAGACTACAAGGAAATCTCAGGATTGTAGGCTAGACAAGGATCTTGAAAAACATCTAAGAAAAGATTGATAAATTATTTTTACCTTGTTGCAAAAAAGCACATGGTTATATAGTTATTAAGTCCAGAAAATCAGAAAAAAGCTTGGCTTTATTAAAGAGCCATATCCAGCTCTGCCAGCTAAGATATTAGCTAAAAAAAAATTTGAAAGTCCTCACGTGTTTTTTTTTAACTTTGCAAAAATAAATTTATTCCCTTATGATTATATGAAATATATTTAACATTCTGTAGATTTTCCCTGCAGTATCAGTTCCTGATTGGCTATGAGGAAACTCTTTCAGTAATACAATAAATCCTAGTCTTTAGCTTTACAAAAAGACTTCAATCGTATTTTTTTTAAAAAAAGCCATGGTTTAGGCATGTTCACCAATACTTTATACCCATCCAGCTGCATGATGGAAGTGGGGGAATGTAAAAAAAAAGTTGAGATGGTGAATAAAGCTATACAGTTGAACCCTTGGCCCTTGTAAGTATGTGATGAGCTACATCCAAAAGGAGCAAGGCTTTGATTGCATGTCCATAATCACCATCTTAAACCTTTATGACTGTTACCACTTGGAGTACCCCAATGCCCAATACAATAGCCAGAGTTCTGGAAGAGAGATTCAATGGCACACCTCGATATATCATTCATGTCCATAACTTTTTGAGAATATTGAGTCTATGGCATACATTTTTTACTGTTGCCCTTTTATTTGGTGTAAAAAATAATCATACTTATTTTGATTATCTGACACAACAAAAGATATATTATTCTTCCAACCTTAGCAGACACATTAGAGATAACCTCCGGGAGAGCAGATAACTTCTCCTCTCTTGTTAACACTATTCATTGTCACACTTGTTTCTTGTTTGTCTATCACTAAGTGTTTAAATCTCATGTTCAGAGGGGGCAGAGCTGGCGTCTCAGTGGTACAGCGTGCGATCTTGAAGCTCCAAGATCGCCACTGATATCTCTGTTGCAGGATGGTCCCACCGGACCTAAACCATCCCGTAGAGACGGTGATTGAGGAGGGCACATCCTGTCGATCCCAGGGACATCGCAAAGTCCCTGGTTGATCCAGGAAAAGCCCTTTTTGCCAGCGGCGGAGAGGCAGCCTTCCAAGCTGCGGAAGCTGGGACAGCTCCGGAATGGAAGAGATTGGAAAGAAAGTGTGTCAGTTTGGTGAGATGAACTTTTACTTATTATTTCTTGGAGAAAACACCCTGAAAAAATTAAAGTGGACAATAAGTGAAGAGAAAAGAATTTAAGCGGCATGATTAATTGTCAAAGTGAAAGTTTTTTTTCTTTTTTCCCTTTTTATTGCAACTTTGAATTTGGCAAAGCTGTTTAACTTTAAGCTGGACTGGTACTTTTTAATCTTTTTATTTTTGTTTGTATTTCTTTCTCCCTTTTTTAAACAACCCTTCTGAAAATCCCTTTTTGACAAAGATTCTTCTGCTTGACTTAAGATTTATTTTTCTCCCTTTAAAAAAAAAGGGGGGGGGATTTTACTTTTTTTTCTTTTAGTTCCTGGCTGTAGATTGAGGAGGGGGAAGTGAAAGTGAAGGAAAGTAAGTAGCACTGCCACCAGAGGCTTGGATACATTGTTTCTTTTTTCTTTCATTAGTTTGTGCTACAATCAAGGACTCTGAGCTGTGTATTGGAAAAGATAGAGATGAGCATGGCAGTTTGTTTATTCAGGTGCTCATTTCCGAACAGATAGCTGGAGTCTGGAGTTGAAGTTGAAAGAAAGAAGATTGAAGTGACCTTGAAAAATTCTTAGCTGATTTATCAAAGAGCCTTGGATATTTGGCAGCAGAGGCTTGTTTTATATTAGAATTGCTTTTTATCTTTTGCCTCCCTTTCTACCCACCCCTCCCACTAGTGGGGCTCTTTTTTTCTCTTTAATTGGATTTTAACTTTTTAAACCAGGAACTAGAATGTAAACTTTTTATTTTGGTTTTCTTTTTGTTTATTAAGAGGAACATATAGAATATTTTTCTTTTTTATTTTTTAGTTGTTACATCTACCATTGCAACTAATTGGATTAAGGTATACAAGTGCCTGAAGATTTACTTTTTCCTTTTTCCCTTTGGAGTGGCAATTGTTTGCCTTCGTTTATTTTTTATTTTTTTTCCTCTTTTTTTCCTCTTTTTTCTCTCTCTTTCCTTACAGATAAGCATTACAAGATGAGTAGAAAGACAACAGCCCCAGCTTCTTCAATACCAACTCCCTCACCATCTGGAGGACAATGATCTATACAGACAATATTACAACAAGAAAAAGAGAAAGAGAAAGAAGTGACATTACAGATGATTATGCAAGGAATTCAGAAAATTGAGGAAAAAATTGAAAAGACAGATGAAAAAGTGGAAAATATTCAACAGATGATGATGAAATATGAAGACAGATTCAAAAAAAATTGAAGAAGAAGAAGATATACAAAAAGATAAGAAAATTGGAGATATTGATATTCATTTGAGTGATGTCGAGAAGGGCAGATTTGAACCACTAGGATGGGAAATAGACAAATCAGAATTTTATCTAAGATTTCAAAATATAGAAGAAGGAAAAGGTGAAAATCTTGATGAAATAATGGCAGAAATATTGGCAGAAGCACTGGAAATAACCAAAGAAAATATGATGATGGGATGGACGAAGTGTTTTGTGTCTATACAAGATATGCAATGAGGAATAGATTACCAAGAGAAGTTCACATTAGATTTACTAAGAAGATTATTAAGACACAGCTATTCCAGGTGGAGAGAGAAAAAACACTAAAATATAAAGATAAAGAAATTGTGGTGCTGAAATAGATACCAAGAAGAGTAAGAGAGATGAGAAGAGAATATTTATTCTTGACTAAAGAGTTTACTTAAAAGAGGAGTAAACTACAGTTGGCTGATGCCAGAAGGCATCTTGTTCACTTGGCAGGAACAAAGACACAGAATTGACACAGTTGGAAAAGGTGAGCTATTCTACTTAGAATACTTTAGAGAAAAGGAGGAAGAAGAAAGAAAGGAAGAGTCACTAATTGAGTTCCAAGAGGAGTGTATAGCAGTAATTGAAAAAGAAAAAGAAGAAGGCGCAGTAGGCGGTGAACCCAGAGAACAACGAGAATTGAGATCTACTAGAGCAATAAAACCTTCTTACAAAGCTTAACATGGATGAAAGAAAATTGATTACAATTAACATAAATTGACTTAATTTGGCTACTAAAAGAAGGGAAGTATTTCACAAAGTAGAAAAATTAAAATTTGATATAATCTGCTTACAAGAGGTACATATTAAAAAACAACATGAATATATACTAAAACAAGGAAAACTAGGGAAATTATTTACGTCGCTGGCACAATCTTAAAACAGAGGTGTGGTATTATATATTAAAGAAACAATTTTGGCAGAACTAATTTACACAGATGATGATGGAAGGATTTTGATGGTAGAAATAATGGACAACAGCGTTAAAACATTTTTAATTGCAATTTATGCCCCGAATGATAAACAAGAAGAATTTTATAGAAAATTACATACAAAAATAATTGAATTGGACTATGTTAATATTTGTATGATGGGAGATTTTTAATGGAATAATTAACAACTGGCTGGACTATAAAACACAGAAAACAACAAAGTTAGAAAGATACTATCCAAATCCTTCCTTCGAATAACAGAAGAATTTAATTTAAAAGATACATGGAGAGAGAGAAATGCGGAAAGTAAACAATATACTTTTTATTCAAACAGGCATACATCCTGGTCTAGAATAGATATGATATGGATGTCAGCAGAATTATTGACTAATGTACGACAGATTGAAACAGAAACAAGCACTTTGGCAGACCATAATCCAGTGTCAGTTATTTGAAAAGGACACAAGAGGAGATCCTAGATGGACTTTAAATAATATGATACTGAAAGAAAAAGACTTTAAACAGAAAATAGAGAAAGAACTTGTTTTCTTCTTCAAAGAAAATAGAAAAGAGGATACATCTTTACAGAATCTCTGGGACACGATGAAGGCCTACACAAGAGGCTTGATAATAGATTATACTAGGAGAAGAAACAGAAAACAGAAAAAGGCATTTAAGACATTAGAGGATGACTATAAAAGACTGGAAAAAGATTTACAGATGTTCCCCCCAAAAAAGACGTTAAAAATAAAATGGATATAATTAAACATAAAATGGGACTAATGGAAAAAGAGGAATTAGCACAAAAATTAAAAATGCTAAACAGAATTACTTTGAAGATGCAAATAAACCAGGCAGATGGCTAGCTTATAAACTGAGAAAGGAAAGAGAAGCAAGAAGAATTATTCAATTGATAAATAAAGAAGGACAGGTTTGCTATGGAAATGAGAAGAAGAAAAAAATTATACAAGACTACTACGGAAAACTGTACTTTCAAGAGAATATTCAAGAAGAAAAAGTTAAACAATATCTTCAAAAAGCGAAGCTACCTCAGATACCCAAAAACATTGAAACAATGTTAGAAGGAAGTATAACAATGATGGAATTAACAGAAACTTTAAAAAAACAGAATGCTGGGAAAGCACCAGGTCCAGATGGTTTGCCAGCGGAATTTTACAAGACTTTTCAGGAAATATTGAATTTTCATCTTTTAGAAGTTATGATGAAGTTATGTTAAAGAAAAGAATACCAAAAACATGGTCAGAAGCATACATTACACTTATACTGAAGGAAGGTAGAGACCTACAGCAAGTTAAAAATTATAGACCTATATCTTTATTGAACTCAGACTATAAAATCTTTGCTTCAGTTTTGGCAGAAAGACTAAAAAGATACTTAAATAATTGTATTCATACTGATCAAAATGCCAAAGAGACAAATCAAAGACAATGTGAGAATCATTTTGGATACTCTGGAATATTATGAAGCACACCTGAGAAGCAAATGGCCTTGATGTTTCTAGATGCTCAAAAAGCCTTTGACAATGTGAGTTGGTGATTTATTTTACTGCAGTTGATACAAATGGGCATTGGTAAGAAATTTATCCAAGCCATTGAAACAATATACCATGAACAAACTGCAAAGGTGATGGTGAATGGAGAATTAACAGAATCCATAGATATAAGAAAAGCGACAAGGCAAGGCTGCCCATTGTTGCCTCTGCTGTTTGTGTTAACATTGGAAGTCTTGAATAGGAATATTAGAGAAGAAAAAGAAATAAAAGGAATGAAAATTAAAAAGGAGGAGTATAAATTGCAAGCTTTTACAGATGACCTGGTATTTATATTAGAAGACCCATTGGAAACAGCACCCAAATTAATAGAAAAAAATAGAAGAATATGGAAAAAGTAGCAGGTTTAAGAATAAACAAAGATATTAACAAAGAATATGTTAGCAAGACGAAAGAAAGAGTTGGAAGAAATTTTAAAAATACAAGTCACAAACAAGGTTAAATATTTAGGGATTCATATTACACCAAGATGTAGTATGCTGAAAGAAGATAACTATGTTAAACTCAAACAGCAGATTGTGACAGATTTGATGAAATGGGAAAAACTGCAACTATCATTGATTGGGAGAATATCCACAACTAAGATGAATGTATTGCCGAGAGTTTTATATTTATTCCAGACAATTCCTATTCGATTAGGGAAAGAGTGTTTTGAAGATTTAAATAGAATAGTGTTGAAATATATTTGGCAGGGTAAAAAAGCAAGAATAAAATTAAAACTGTTACAAGATGCAAGAATAAGAGGACGGTTTGCCTTGCCCAATTGGGAGCTCTATTACCAGGCGACAAATTTGATGTGAGTAAAGGAATGGATAACACTAAGGAACTGTAGATTATTGACTTTAGAAGGCCATGACTTGCTGCTGGGATGGCATGCCTTTCTCTGGTATAAGGGAATTAAAACACAGGGGTATTTCAGAAGACATTATATTCGTGAGGCATTGTTTTTGAACTGGGAGAAGATAAAAAGACAATATTACTTTAAAATTCCAACATAAATATAAACTATTGAAGCTTTTTCTTATCCAATAATATATAAAAAGGAACAAACTGTTAGATATGGGGAGATATTGCATATAAAGAAAATTTGTATAAGATGTTTTACAGGTGGCACTTACCCCTGATGAGACTTGCGAAAATGTTTAAGAATAAATCGGATAAATGCTGGAAATGTCATCAGATACCTGGTTCATATTACCATATGTGGTGGGCATGTTCGGATGCGAAGAAATATTGGACTAAAATCCACACATGGTTGGAAAAATGATAAAACAACATATAGACTTTAAACATATAGATCTTTTTATTGGGAGTCATGCCGGATATATACAATAAAGAACTGAAATATTTGATTGTAAATGTTTTAACAGTGGCTAGAATTGTATTTGCGAAGAACTGGAAAAATGACAAAATACCTATGCAGGAGGAAGTTATCAAAAAAATTATGGACTGTGCTGAAATGAGTAAACTGATATTTGAAATTAGAGAACAAGAATACGAGCAATTTTATATGATACGGGATTTGTTTTACCAATGGTTGGATAAAAAGGCATGGTAATGTAATAGACTAGATAATTTTGTGATAGAAATTTAATAGACTGATATAAAACATAACATAGATATATATAACCACTGGTTGAAAGTATAACACAAATTTTAAGATAAAACTTTGAACATCTCGTATAAAATGATGGAATAAATAGTTTAGTCATGGATGATTAATAACTGATAAATATATAACCATATGTTAGTTCGACAATGTGAAGACTGATATAAATTGTGAGTAAATGACTACAAAAGGATAGCACAAAAGATATGTAACCAACTGACACACTATGTATATAAAATGGAAGATGTTTTTATGTTTTTATGTTTTTATGTTTTTTGTATGTGTATGTTTGTTTTTAAAAATAATTTTTAAAAAAATCTCATGTTCAAAACAGTTTTCCCACTGGTAGTTGTGATCATATATAAATTCGCAAAGGAAACTATTATTTGATAACTTCCACCCTAACCCATTGGCTGGGAGATGGGATGGAAGCATGAAACAGTGAAACAAATGTATATTATCGATTGGTAAGTGAAACTGGCTGGCAGGCAAAATAAAAAAAAGGATTTTAAAAAAAAGGAGCAAGAGCCCTTGCTTCATCGTGGTGGTTAATACATATTAACTAACAGTACTTCGAAATACTGTTTTAGAGGCTTCGGTCTTGGAGTCATAGTCCTGAAAGATCAACCTGGGTGGGAGAAAGGGTGGAGACGTAAACGACTCTACCGTATCCAGCCACATTAATAATTCACCGCTTCGAATAATTCGCTTTGAAGACGGATTGAATATGATGTAATTCTTCCTGAGGCTTCCCCTCTCCTCCAGTTGCTATTGCAAAAACATCCCTCTGCACGGAAGATGAGCCCCGAGCTTTTCTTACGTAAGCCGGTTAAGAGGCCTTTCGTACATTGCTCCGCTGACTCCACTGACTTCCGCGGAAGCAGCGCACGTTGCAGCTCCACTGACTCCCGAAGAAGCAGCGCTTGCAGCCTCGAAAGCGTCGCCATGCCTTTTCTCTGCTTTTGACAACTCTTCACCGAGATCGTAAAGAATTCAGCGCGAGCATCGCTCCTCGTAGCTTTCTCTCCTTGAGGGAAAAAAGCCATTTTGTCGCCCGGACGGGCTGCCGTCCAAACCCCCCTGCCTCCCCGAGCCTGCGTTACCCCTTTACTTTGCGATGGATCTTTCGCGGGTCTGGCATCTGGTTGCCGTGTTTTGCTTGACCTGCGTGCTGGTCAAAATCATCCAGTTGCATCTCCGAAGACAGGCACTGCTGAAAACTTTGAACTGTTTTGATGGTCCCCCTGCCCATTGGCTTTACGGTCATATACTTGAGGTAAGGCTGGGAGAGTTTGTTCCCTTTAAAATGAGGAGGGGAGGAGAGGGAGAGGAGAGGAGAGAGAGAGAGAGAGAGCCCGAGCGTGAAAATTTGTAGTACTTCCATCTTATGTCACATTGCAAGTGGGTCCTCAACTTACAACAGTTTACTTAGTGATCGTTCAAAGTTGCAATGACTATGAAAAAAGTGACTTATGACTGTTTTTCATACTTTGTTGCAGCATCCCCATGGTCACGTGATCAAAATTCAGACACTTGGCAACTGACTCATATTTATGACGGTTGCAGTGTCCTGGGGTTACCTGGTCACCTTTCATGCCCTTCTCACAAGCAAAGTCAATAGTCAAAAGTCAATGGGTAAACCAGAATCACTGAATAACAAGGTTATTTATTAATTTAAGAACTGCAGTGATTCACTTAACTGTGGCAAGAAAGTTTGTAAAATGTGGCAAATTCACTTAACGTATGTTTCACTTAGAACAGAAATGTTGGGCTCAGTTATGGATGTATGTCAAGGATTTCCTGCATAAGCAGGAGCATGTCAGAGTTTCTTGGAGACCCACGGATGTTTTAGGGGCTCAAATTTAGCTATTATAAATCTGATATTGTTCATATTGTCTTACAAGAACATGATTTATTAAACATCTGTGCTGTTTCCTCCTAGTGGTCATTGAGGGCATGTGTTTTACAGCACTTAAATGAATGAGAAAGGCAACTGGAAAAGAAAGGTTGGCTATTGCTTAGAGCTAACACAAAAGTTGGGTAAAAATTGTGCAAAGATAAAACTCACACAGCATACAATTAACCCACAGTCATGGCCCTGAGCAGGTCATGGAAGGCAGTGCCCAAGTGTCAGAGCATTCCCACAGCACTCTTGATGTCCCAGTGGAAGGTCAGCAGTTCCTGAGCAGGCATCCCCAGCCTTGTCTCCAAGATGCCTGTAGATTGTTGTTGTAAGGGAATTATATGTAGGGAATAGAAGGAAAACCCTACCTGTAAACCAGGACAACAAAAGACATCTACAGGTAGCCTCAGTAAGGAGTTGGGGTGAGATGGAGGTGGTATCTTGAGGTCATGTCCTTAAATATAGTTAGTAAGCCATCTTCATGCTAGGGAAGGCAGGAATTAAGTCCTTTCTCATTATCTAGGGCCACATAGATTAATGGCATATTAATTAAGAATTCAAGAGAGGGGGGTGTAGTAAATGGGAAGTGTTCTATATTGTTAATGATGTTTTCCTTCTTCATCCATTTGAACACCCATAATCCATTTAATATAATTTTTGGTCCATGTTACTTGCGCAGTTGCACAATATGCAGCCACAGTTATATTGCCGTTGACAGAATTTTGAGTTAGTATCAGAGGTGGTATTCAGCAGGTTTTGACCAGTTCTGGAGAACCGGTAGCAGAAATTTTGAGTAGTTCAGAGAACTGGCAAATACCACCTCTGACTGGACATTTTATGGTACCTTTCCCCTGCCACGCCCACAGAACCAGTAGTAAAAAAAAATTGAATCCCACCACTGGTTGGTATCATAAAAATCAGTTTTGAATCATAATACTCCCTGAATGACATTGTGTCAGTTAACAGCTACCTAACATCTTTCCTGCATTTTGCAATCAAGAACTGAAGAAAATTCATTTGTGTGGTCACTAAGAGTTGATACCAGCTTTGTGGCATATAATCAATCAAAACCTTAAATTATAATTCATAAGAGAAATATTCGTCCAGTGCACAAAGCCACAATGAAACAAGCCTCATTATCCCAAATGTGCCAACTTTGGCAGAATCAAGAATAAAGAACAGCAACACAGATTTCACTAGAATATCTTAATGGTGTAAATATGGAATCTTGGAAAAAAGTAATTGAAATTCTCAGCCTCATTTATAGGGAGTTCATTAAGGCAGAGTCTCTTTGAATGATCTCAGAAGACTTCTGTCATATTTCTGTACCCTCCCACGCCACAAGTGCTTTCTCCACTTTTCTTGTCCCAATATACCAATGACTGCATCTCAAACGATCCATCTGTTAAAATACTGAAGTTTGCAGATGATACAATAGTGATTGGTCTCATTCGAGACAACGATGAATCAGCATACAGACGGGAGGTTGTACAACTTGCCTCATGGTGTAACTGGAACAATCTGGAACTGAACACATTCAAAACCGCAGAAATGACTTTAGAAGAAACCCTCCCATACTACTACTTCTTACAATACTAGACAACACCATATCAACAGTAGAGACCTTCAAATTTCTAGGTTCTATCATATCACAAGACCTAAAATGGGCACCTAACATCAAAAATGTCATCAAAAAAGTACAACAAAAAATGTTCTTTCTGTGCCAACTCAGAAAGTTCAAACTGCCCAAGGAGCTGCTGATGGACTTCTACAGAGGAATTATTGAGTCTATCATCTGCGCCTCTATAACTGTCTGGTTTGGTTCTGCAACCCAACAGGACAGACACAGACTTCAGAGGATAATTAGGACTGTAGAAAAAAACAATTACTACCAACCTGCCTTTAATCGAGGACCTGTATACTGCACGAGTCAAAAAGAGGGCTGTGAAAATATTTACAGACCCCTCACATCCTGGACATAAACTGTTTCAACTCCTACCCTCAAAATGACGCTATAAAGCACTGCACACCAGAACATCTAGACACAAAGACTGTTTTTCCCTGAACGCTATCACTCTGCTAAACAAATAATTCCCTCAACACTGTCCAACTATTTACAAAGTCTGCACTACTATTAGTATTAATCTTCTCATCACTCCTTATCACCCATCCCCTCCCACTTGTGACTGTATGACTGCAACTTTATCGCTTATATCCTTATGATTTATATTGACTGTTTCCTAGTATGATTTGATTGCTTATTTGTTCCTATGACTATTATTAAGTGTTGTACCTTATGATTCTTGACTCTTGATGAATGTATCTTCTATTCTATTCTATTCTATTCTATTCTATTCTATTCTATTCTATTCTATTCTAGGGCATGTTTATGCTTGTTTAAGTCTGCCCTCATTTCTTTTCCACCTCTTTACAACTATTTATACAAAATAAATAGCATAGACCAGTTTCCCATCATAGAGTGGATTACAATAAAACCTGTTTTTCTGCTCCTAGTTTTCAAATAAAAATTAAAACACTTCGCCTATATTCCCCTGTATTCTGTTTGGGACCAGCAAAGCCTGAAGTGCAGGCATGAGAAATTGCTATCACTATATCTGTAATCTGAAACTTCCTTCATTTTTTGATCAGGAGCAAAAGGTGGAGTACCTCCTCTCTGGCTGCATTCACATATTGCTCTGAACCTTAATGTTATTTACTTTGATTTTGGACTAATCTGATTTGCAGACACAGTTTGTATATTTGTTCATCCAATTGCACAGAGGTCCAGATATTTTCAGAACTCAGCAAGGTTTTCCAAATGTCAGCTTTGTTTCAGATCCTGTATTATGCTGGATTGATATATAGTCATATCTGACATTCTCAGCCAAAAAGTAGCCTATAAGAGCAGAAACTAGATTTCCAAGATGCACGAGACCCTAAAAGGCTCAGTTGAGGTCCATCTCTTCCAGAAGTTTCAACGGAATGCTAATGTTTAATGTGATTGAAAGAGAAATTATGTAACACAGATTACAATAGTAATAACTGTATTTTGTTCATTTCACATTTCATTAATGAAATTAAATACACGTAAATAATATTTTGTTTTATTCATCTTCAGACACTTTTTGTCCTGGCTCCTTCACCTGCTTTTAGGGGAGGGGCTCCTGATATGCTACTTAAAGGCCAAGGAAAGCCTTTGACTTGAAAAAATAAATTTAAAACACCAAATAGCTCATTAAAATATTTTGCCAAATATCACCTTTTCTTGTTTTCTTCTTTATCTTGCACCAATGCAGTTTACACCTATTTCTGCAGTTTACAGAAAAGTAGAGGGATGGACTTATCTGTATCCATTTGCCTTTCCTCTGTGGTTTGGTAGGTTCATGGCATGTTTGAATATCACACATCCTGATTATGCCAAACCAATACTTGCTCGAACAGGTAAGGAAATACAAACGTCGTAATTCATTAGCTTTTGTAACTAATACTTCATTGCATATGTAGATTAACCAATTAGTAACAAGGGAAGTATATTACAAAACAAATTTATGACTCTAAGGTTCAGCAACCTGTGCTGATTGTCGGTTGGATCAGCATCCTGGACTACAGACGATCAGCTGTTTCAGGCTGCAGAGATAGCCATTGCTTATTGCCGCCTCTGTGTGCCCCATTTTCAGCCTCCGCATCCCATTTTGGGCCCATTCCAGGTGGCAGGGATCAGAACGGCTGAAAATGGGGGCACAGAGGCCAAAAACGGGGCACGTCGAGGTGGCGATCCCTGCATCTGAAGCAGCTGATTGTCGCTATCCATTGGAGTCTGTGCCGGACCTATTTAGTTGCTCTACCAAAGCAGACAGTTCAAAGTACAGATGAGAGACTCAATAATTCCTCTGTAAAACTGTATCAACAGCTCTAGGGGCAGTCTGAACCTCCTAAGTTGACACAGGAAGAGCATTCTTTGTTGTGACTTTTGGATGATGGTTCTAACCTTAGGTGCCCATTTCAAATCCTGGAAAATTATAAAACCCCAAAACTTGAAGGATTCTACTGCTAATCCTGTGCTGTTGAATATAGTAAAAAGTTACTGAGTAATTTGGGAATATGGGTTCCTGTTGTCATAAATTCCCAAAGTAATAATAAATAAGTAATAAATTCCCAAAGTTTTATTAGCCACCTGGAATGTACAGAATATTTATAAAAAATAGGGAAACTAATTTATGTGGCAGAAAACTAGGGAGTCCAAAGTTTTCTCAAGTAGAGGGGTAGTTTGTACAGTAGTTGTTTCAGTTGTTTTTTTACATCACAAGAAAACATAAGCATTATTTGATATTGTCTAAAAAGGGATGGAGTATGTTTTGAGAAACAGTTGTTTTAATCTGAGGAACACCCTGAAAATTATCAAGGGAAGAAGGGGAGTCATTCTGTTATGTCTTAGCATTAGAAATGCAAATAAGGATATCTATATATTATGCCCATATTTTAATGTACATTATAATTTATGGGTTTTTGTCCATAAACAAAACCACACATTATCTAGTTATTATTTCTTTAGGTTAGCAAATATTTTTCTCTGAAATTTATGTATTTTTCTCTAATAACAGCCTAGTGTAATTAATTAAGCTATAGAATTTTACTTCTTTTTTCTCTTCTTTTAGAACCAAAAGATAATTTTACTTATCAGAACATAATCCCATGGATTGGTATGTATATTCCAGTTCTCCATGATGAAGAACAATTGATCAGTTAAAATTGTTTATAATTTTATTCTAAAGACTCCCCCTTAGGAGCTCTAAATTGTCAAACTTTTGTCATAGCTATTTCATAACTAAAAAAAGACAATCTTTACATTTATTTTGTTTGCTTATTTTAATTTCTGCTTGCTTCCACTTCTCTGGAAATGTGTATTGATTATATATAATAATCAAACAGACAAAATATGTTATGATAAAGAATTGAGTCTACTTAATATGCTTTCTCAAAATATACATGCAGCGTATTAAGAATTCTCCAATAATAAAATTCCAAATAGGTTGTATAAGTATGTATTTCAGTATTACTATTGTATTATTGTCCTATCCCCAGGGGTGGGATTCTACAGGTTCGCACCTATTCGCTAGAACCGGTTGTTAACATTCTAAGCAGTTTGGAGAACCAGTTGTTAAAAGAAATTACTGGCCTAATCCTGTAAGGAAGGCAGGAAGGAAACATTCTGGTGTTGCTTACAGAAACTGCCTCTCCATTAACCCTTATTACATTCTTGGCAGGACTAGACTTCCTGTCTCCAGAGCTTCTCTGGAGTTTTTTTTCCTCCTTTGCTGGTACTTTGCTTGTGTGGAGTGACCATTCAAAGTTACTAATGGCACTGAAAAAAGTGACTTTTCACACTTACGACTGTTGCAGCATCCCACAGTCATGAGAGGCCAGGCAAGGAGATGCGTGCCTCGATGTGAGTGATATTGAGTTGGCCACACCCAGCCAATAACATGACCACCAACCCATGTCCACCCAATCACATGACCACCAAGCCACGCCCACCACCTAAGCCATGCCCACAGAACCGGTTGTTAAAAATTTGAATCTCATCCCTGCCTATCCCCATGATTTACAAAGGAGTTGAATAGGGTCAAGACATGTTTAGAGAGTTATTAGAAGTAGAGGTGTAAGTAAATAAATATATAATTTACATTAGAAATTGAGATTCTCATAGAAGCCTTGATTTTAGCAAAACTTTCATTTGTGAGTAAAACAAACCCTCTGCTTTGGTAGTTTTTTTCCAATTGATTTTTATGGGCAATGTATTGACTTGCAGTGCCATCTAAATGAAGTCAAAAATCACCAGGTTGTTGGACAGAGAATTGCATACGTATTCAGAAAGGGCAATGTTTTCACTGCAATACTCTAGTCTGCCTATTGTGCCAGTCCAGACACAAACATCCTTGCAGGTGCCACAGATTGGCTGACTGAGACTAGGCCTTCAGATTTATTTATCCTGCTAACTTGTGCGTAACGCATTTATCTACTGACTGCTGAAATCCTGGAATTAAAATTGATAAAAGTATCAGGGTTTTTTGAGAAAGCATAAAAAGCATCCCATGTAGTGTTGAAGGAGGAGAAATCTTCACAGGTCAGTGTCTTGCCAATACTGCTGTGCCACCCCCTGCCATCTGGTCCCAGGGTTAGGGGTCTCCTAGCATAAAGAGATATTGATCATGGGAGGAACATCCAATGGTTTGGTTCTTAATCCCTGTTTTACCTGCCTACTCTTCTTCTTACCAATCAGTATATTTAATGCTCATCAAAGGACCTCCATGAAGCTGATGATAATGATTTTTAAGTACTGTCCCAAAGGTGTTATTTTTCCAAAAGGCAAAGAAGCTGAAAGTGAAGAAGTTTCCTGGATGAGAAGTGAAATGTTTTCAAAGAAAAAAAAAATCCAAGAAACTTCAGTTGCCTTTTGGAAACGGCACCTGTCAGATTGAGAAGCTCAATTGAGATTTTAAGTATTGGTATTTTTTCCATAAGAACTTTGCCTTTCATGATCCTCAATCTCTCTTGAGGAATCAGTCTCCAAAGACAACATGGAGGAAAGATACCTCAACACAGCTGGGTGGATGAATCATTAGGGCACAATTTTGCATTTCAAGTTCTAATTATTATGCTGTACAATATATCTGATGCAATGCAATGAAAGTAGACAAGCATGTATAATAATCATTCTATATAATGTATACATTAGGAGGAGACAAATTGGTCATCTAGTCCAACTGTCTGCTAGAACCCATTAAACCATCCCTGGTTAGAACCCATTAAACCATCCCTGACAAATGTCTACCCATCACTTCTTTGAAAACGTCCCATAAAGAAACAGGCAAAGGAGAAAACATTTCTAAAGCAAAAAATAAATCTGAAGAAAATGCTTATCAAGAATGTTCAGGTTAACCAATCAGCTACCAAATAAATGAGAAATGTAAACATGAGTCACAGAAAGGGACACAGAATAAAAACTTTGATCCTCACATTACATAATGTATCTCGGTTTATGGTTATAATAATTGTTCTTACTACAGACTCAGTTGTAATGAAGTTTGAAATCTCAGTTTTCTCTCATTTCTTTGAATGTACATCAGGTGCATAAAGCACCACTTACCTGGTTCAAAATTAATGAAATACAATAGTTATGGAAATGAAGTTTCATTGCTGCTGTAAACCAGAGGAAGCTTTCTAAATGTAACAATATTTTATTTTTTATTAGTTTTTTTTCCCATCCTGCCTTTATTATAAGTAACACAAGGTACCGAACGTATATAACACTCCTTCCTCCTCCTGTTTTTCTATTTGATGTGAAGTGTCTGTTTTCTTTAGGGAAAGGTTTATTGGTCCTGCATGGACCCAAATGGGCACAACATCGAAAATTGCTAACTCCAGGTTTCCACTTTAATGTATTAAAGCCATATGTGCCCCTGATTGCAGATTCTGCGAAACTGATGTTGGTAAGTGTTAATAATTGATTTATTAAAAGTTTTTCCCTGACTGGTTTACTGGCAGCTGAAATGGTGTGTGCATATGTGTATATTTGGCTGCAGAATTCTGGGGTTGAAGTCTCCCATCTTAAAGTTGCCAAGGTTGAGAAACATTGCATTAGAGAATCAGAAACGAAAAGTAATGAATGTCCCAGAAAAATAATTACTTGAGAAAATTGAGAGGTCATTTTCCTATACATTAGAATAGAAACATTTATATAATATACTATATAATAATTTAGTTTTGCTTGCTTTAAGGGGTCCATCACAACAACATAACAGCAATATTTCATTTTCCTTCTGTTAATTTTAGAATAAATGGGAACAACTTATCATGCAGGAGAAATCAGTGGAACTCTTTGAACATGTGAGCTTGATGACACTTGATAGCATCATGAAATGTGCCTTTAGTTATAACAGCAACTGTCAAATGCACAGGTTGGTATTGCTTTTCTTTTAACTTTGGGTAAAATTTGGGTAACTTTTTGTTATTAACATATTCAGTAATGACTTAATGGGATCCAAGTGATCCCATTATAAAACATAGCATCCTTGCATTATGTCACTACTTACCCTCCCACATATATAGAATCACAACTTACACATTTCATAATTGTCCGCTTTATTTAATATGCATCAGTTGCTCTTCTTTTGGAGTCAAATAAAAATTGCAGTTAAGTCCCCTGATGAACCAATTTTTGCCTCATTGTTTGTATATATTATACATCATTTCAATGCATTGAATTATCAAGGTTTAGAGAGTTAGTTTGGTATAGTGGTTAAGGCAGGGGTGTCAAACTCGTATTGTCATGGTGGCATCATGTGACATATCGGAACTTTTTCCCCCTTTGCTAAACCAGGCAGGGGCGGGGCCAGCATGTGACGCATCTGGCCCGCAGGCTGCGAGTTTGACACCTCTGGGTTAAGACATCAGGCTTCAAACCAGGAGATTGAGTTCTAGTCTAATGTCTTCAGCACAAATTCAGTTTGGATGGCCTTGGGCCACTCATTCCCTCTTAACCCTAGGAAGTAGGCGATGGTAAACCATCTCAAAAAAAATCTTGCCTAGGAAAGTGCAGAGTCTTGTCCAGGCAATCATCAGGAGTCCACACTGGCTTAAAGGCACATTTACACATAATCAAATGTTTTGCAACCAGGGACTGATTGCCTATAATTTTTGGCTGATGAGGCTTCAAGGGGGCAAAATAATAATGTCATGCTAGTGGCCAGAACCACTTTTCCAACATTTGTCTTTGGCGGAGGATGGGGGAGGATATTTTTAAAAAATAGGATGAGGTGACCATTATGATACAGTAAGCATAGTAAGAAACTTAACAAACCTTGTTTCTTTTCTATTCCACCCCCGTTTTCAGAAATCAGTGGAAAATTATGCCTTCAGGACTCAGTGATTTAGCAATGGACTTCAGACCAGGATTGACATTTATTTGCAGCCTGTGGTGCAGAGTAATCACCCCTTGATTTAGGTGGACTCAATGGCAATAAAGTACCCAGGGAATTTATACTGTATTAGTTAATGAATAATGACAATTGTTTTTAAATAACATTCCTGAAGTACTGTATTAATACCGTGTTTCTCATAAAATAAGGCCGGGTCTTATATTTTTTTGAGCCCCGAAAAAACGGCTAGGCCGTCTTTTCGGGGGTGACTTACTTCTCCCCCTTGCATCCTCATCTAGAGCGCCCCGTGGGCAGCCTCGCCACCAGCCGCTCCTAACGGGTGATCATGGCGAAGCGCAGAGAGCTCCCTACTCCCACCAAACACCTTTGCTGCAGACCCAAGACCTTTGGCACCCGCCGCTTTTGCTTTCCCTTCTACCCATTCCGCCACCATGTTTGGAGCTGCCGCTTCCATGTTTGGAGTGCCGCTGCCATTTGGAGTGCCGCCGCCATTTGGAGCACCGCCGTCATGTTTGGAGCTGCCACTTCCGCATTTGGAGCTGCCGTCGTGTTTGGAGTGGCGGCAGCGCTTCAAATGGCGGTGGTGCTCCAAACAGCGGCAGTGCTCCAAACGTGGAAGCAGCAGCTCCAAATGTGGCGGCAGCTCCAAATGTGGACATGGCAACTCCAAACAGCGGCAGTGCTCCAAACAGCGGTGGGGTTCCAAACGCGGAAGTGGCATCTCCAAACGCGGCGGCAGCTCCAAATGCGGAAGCGGCAGCTCCAAACAGCAGCAGTGCTCCAAACAGCGACAGCATTCCAAACATGGAAGCAGCAGCTCCAAATGCGGAAGTGGCAGCTCCAAATGCAGAAGCGGCAGCTCCAAACAGCAGCAGTGCTCCAAACAGCGGCAGCGCTCCAAACGTGGAAGCAGCAGCTCCAAACGCAGCGGCAGCTCCAAATGCAGAAGCGGGAGCTCCAAACGGCAGCGGTGCTCCAAACAGCAGTGGTGCTCCAAAAGTGGAAGTGGCAGCTCCAAATGCAGTGGCGGCATGGGCAGAAGGGAAACCAACAGCGGCGGGCGCTGAAGGTCTTGGGTCTGCCACAAAGGTGCTTGGCAGGAGTAGGGAGCTCTCCGCGCTCTGCCATGATCGCCCATTAGGAGCAGCTGGTGGTGAGGAATTGCTGCCCGCGGGGCGCTCCTTCCCCCCATTTTGCATGTTTTAAAATAGGCCTAAATTTGGGGGGAGGGGCTTAATTTCATTTTATGCCTAGAAAACATGCTGGGTCTTCCTATTGGGGGAGGTCGTATTGTTGGAGAAACACGGTAGATGTACCTTATGTTATCTATTATACATTACAGCATTATTATCAGTGGTGTGCTGTATCCCACATGTATTGGCTCATGAGAACTAATTGTTAAATTTCTGGAATTTTGTGACATGGTTGAGACACAGCAGCACAGCGTTTAGTAGAATATTCAGTGGCTAGTTGCAAGATGGCAGCAACAGAACTGGTTGTTACATATTTACCGCTGACTATTGTCCAGCAAGCTGAATGAAAGCTTTAATGACAAAATAAATGCAATGGTTTATGATGTAATTTTATGTAAAATCAGAAGTAAGCTTCACTGAGTGGTTTCAATACATGCAGGCCTCGACTTACAACAGTTCATTTAGTGACCATTTGAAATTACAATGGCACTGAAAAAAGTCACTAATGACCATTTTCACACTTACGTTCATTGCAGCTTCCCCACTGTCATGTGATCAAAATTCAGAGCTTGGGAATTGGGTCCTATTTATGACAGTTGCATGGGGTCATGGGATCACCTTTTGCGACTTTCTGACAAGCAAAGACAATGGGGAAGCCAGATTCACTTAACAAACTTGTTGCTAACTTAATACCTGCAGTGATTCACTTAACTGTGGCAAGAAATGTCATAAAATGGGGCAAAATTCACTTAACAAATGTCTTGCTTTGCAACATAAATTTTGGGTTCCATTTTGGTCATAAGTCAAGGACTATCTGTACTATTGTTTGAAGACTATGCAGTACTGAAGTATTCATAGTTAAAATCCTGAATTTCTCCTTTGATTTTCCTGTTGTCCTATAGGGAAAATTCTTACGTTCAAGCTGTCTTTGAGCTTTGCTTCTTGGTACATGACAGGCTGCACCGCATTGTAGGTTACAGTGATCTTCTATATTGGTTCAGTCCCCAAGGATTTCGGTTTCGGAAAGCCTGCCAAGTTGCTCACCTTCATACAGGTATTTTTTCCCCAATGCTTTGGTTTTGGTTTGGACCCAAAGGAAGGTAAAAATAAAAATAAAATGAACCAAAAAACAAGCAAATCTTAAACAACTGTTTAAGAAGAAATCATGCAGAGTAGGATTTTTGTTCAATCCATCATCTTAAGTGCTTCTGTGTAATTTATATTTCATTAGTATGTTGCCATTTCAGTCTGTGCATTTTTTTTTTTAATTGCAATGTCCTTCAGGGAAGACTAGGGAAATCACACAATTGGTGTGCTATTAGAACAAAGAAAAATGACTGACTAAAAAAAGTTAACATAACATACAGTTTTACATTTTCTTACAGTGTAAGGAGTTGCCATGAACAAAGCTTAAAAATTGGAATTGGTGAGCTATTAACACCAAATGTTTCCAATACAGAGAAAGTAATCAAAGAAAGAAAGGAATCTTTGAAGGCTGAAGAAGAACTTCAAAAGATCCAGGCAAAGAGACACTTGGATTTTCTTGACATTCTTCTTTTTGCCAAAGTAAGTATAACAACGAGGAAAACATTGGTCAGTTAATTATACTAGTTGTGATTATGATTTCTAAGTGATCTTACTGCCAGTAGATTTTATATAATCAAATAAGAACCCTGCAATTCTGATTCACTCCATGAAGTTTCGAAACTCTCAAAGATAAGTGACATGGATAATAGAATTATAGATATTTTCCTATTGTTCCACCTGCATATTATAACCAAAATTTTTAGCCCAATTTATATTCTTTCACTTGTTCTTCTTCCATTTCAAATTTCAACAGAAGTTCATACATCATAGCAATACACCAGTGGTGGGATTCAATTTCTTTTACTACCAGTTCTCTGGGTGTGGCTTGGTAGGCATGGCAGGGGAAGGATACTGTAAAATCTCCATGCAGAGGTGGTATTTGCTGGTTCTCCAAACTACTCAAAATTTCCACTACTGGTTCTCCAGAACTGGTCAGAATCTGCTGAATCCACCTCTGCAATACATGCACCTCTTTTATGTATAATTTCATTTTAAACTTTGTTTTACCTTTTATTTTTTAAATCCACCAATTGCCTGCACTCTTTAATAGTAAAGAAAAAAACATTCCCATAAAGGTGCAGTTTATCAATTTTAATTCCAATTTATTCAAAAGCACTTTCCTACAAAAAAGACTTCCACTTTATTGTCTTGAAACTTTCTTATATCTGCTTAAGCTTTTTTATTTGAAATTTGTATTAGCTTATCAGAATATAAAATACAAAGAAACGGAAATAATGGAAAACTAATGAATGAAAAAGGGAAAAGAAAATAAGTTGACCTTTGTTATGTTATGAACAGAATAACCCTTGAATAACAAGGATATGCACATGGAAACATTTATGAGAGTAGTTATGAATAATTATTCAGCCACACACAGCTACACTGAATTGAGTTAAAGTTTACTTTAAGAAATAGCACAGTCCAATAAACAGTCCAGGTCATATACATTTAACAGTCCAAAGAATATCCAATTACAAAGTCTTCTTACCGGTTGCCTTTGTCATTTACAGCAAACAAAGATATCAAAGTATAAGCACAGCTTAGATAGCAACAGAATGTCAGAGATACAGAATGTCAGAGAGAATAAGCTATGATCTCTAGCTCCCTCTTATGGCAATTCACAATACAATCAACCAATTGGAACATAGTACAAATCAATACAGTAACTTTGTCTTAAAGCTACAAACATACATAGCTGGTTTATATATTGCCAATCCAACAACCTTTGATTCCTAACAACTTTTGATTCTCTTTAGCACAGTAGAAGATGATCACACTACTGCCTCAACTTTTTACTTTTACACAATAATATATACTACTAGCCATTTCTACGAAAACAAACCTATACAATCAGAAAAAAAACAAAAAGAAAGTTTCATTTTTTTCCACCAGGAGCACAAAATCCAGAAGCAATTTCCAAATGGAAATAAAATTAAATATATTGTTTTCTTTGAGTGAAACAATCAATTTAACTATCTCTACTTTTTTCCCCTTCTTTGCTGTAAGAAATAATATATATTGCTGTTTATACCTATTAATCTTTATAAAGTATCATTTCATTTATATTTTAGAACATAATCGATTTATAATATGAATGAAAATTGTTTGTAGATAATTTTCAAATATGTCTCTTAAAATGTGTTCGACTTCAGCTGTCTTCTTAGCTCCTCCAGTGGTCAAATAATTGTTTCCCTAGCCAATCAGAATTCATAAAAATCAGGGAATTTTACCCACAACAAAGCATTCCTGCAATCTACACAAGAGGAACAGCTGTCCGAAGTGCAAGTGGGTTATCTCATGTTCTCTCCTTTATCTGGAAAGACAGCACTGGCCTGAATTTGCCATGTAGCTACTAATCTCTACTGCAATACCATGCCTGTTTTGTCAGGGGCACCTAGTCTGCCATAGAATCTTAGCTGGAAGACTGAATCACAAAATACTCTTAAGCCAAAAATGAAACAAAATATATTTATTACTTAGAGTCTTGTATGAACCTGGTGAAAAAAACGAAGTCTTCGATAAAATCTTATCACTAGGTTTCTCAATCTTTAGGATGAAAATGGCATTGGATTATCTGATGAAGAGATACGTGCCGAAGTGGACACTTTCATGTTTGAAGGTCATGACACTACAGCTAGTGGGATCTCTTGGCTGCTGTATTGTCTTGCACAAAATCCAGAGCATCAAGAAAGATGTAGAGAGGAGATCAAATCCATTCTGGGAGATCGTGACACAATTGAATGGCAAGTACTGGTATTTTACCAGTCGCAAGATTTCCTATAGGTATCAGTATTCACTGGATAGATGTGCGTTACCAGTGAGTGATATTGTAAGTATTGGGCAGTTATAGATGTTAAAACGGTGCTCACTGGTTGCATTTTGTTAGGTTTTGGGTCTACTGCTGTGATTGTGTTTTTATTATTGAGATGGCATACAACAGGAGGGTCAAACTGGATTTCTTCAAGGGCCAGATCAGCATTGTAGTTCTCCTCCATGGGCTGGCCGGGGGGGGGGGGGGGGGGGGGGGGGGGGGGGGGAGATTGGATGGATGCCTCCTGCAGCACCCTGCTGGGCAAAATGGGGCATGGGGAACTGCGTGCAGCCCATCTGCACCTGTTTTGGCCAGCAGAGTGTTGCAGGAAGCTGTTCAGGCTGAAAATGGGACATGGGGTGTGTGTGCATGCGCAACCCCTCATGCCCCATTTTGGCTGCCAGAGGCACTGTGTGCCGGTTCTTTGCTATTTCCAGGCCAGCCCTGCGGGCCAGATTTAAGTAGCCCGTGGGTCGAATACAGCCCGCAGGCCTTGAGTTTGACACCCCTGGCATAGAATCTCAGTGAAATTGTCAGTATGTATACAGTAGCATGACAACTACCAATACAGAGGGTCTGTAGGATTGGCTTTAAATAACTTATCTGATCCACAATTAATCTATTGATGTACTTTGTTTCAACATATTCCAGGGATGATCTTAATAAGATGACTTACTGCACCTTATGCATTAAAGAGAGTCTCCGCCTTTATTCCCCGGTACCTGGAGTGTCCCGAATATTAACCAAACCTGTTACATTTTTTGATGGGAAAACTTTACCTGAAGGTTCAAATAATTTTATTCCACTCTCATATCCATAGATCCTTTTTAGCTTCATTGTTGCAACATATGTCATTGTTATACAAATTGTCTCTAAACTATCTTGTTTTTAATTTGTTTGTTTATTATTTAGCTAGGAGTCTCTATTTCAGTTCTGTAATACGCAGGCTGGCTTACTAACAAAACTTAAAATCAATTAAAACAACATATACACAATTGAGCCTACCTTTCCTTCCATTGCCTAAAGGCCCAATAATTTATCCAGCAAGAGTGGAGAGAAATTGGGCAGACTTTAGGACTGATTGAAGTGTCTTTACCTGCTAGGAACTGAATTAGGAATAACAGTCACAGAAGACCTGGCAGAAAATTCATGTTATTTTTGTTGAGAAGAAGCCTTATTAGAAAGATAGTATAGCTGAAGGCACTGAAAGCTACTGAGATATTCAAGTCATTAAATAGAAATTCTGCCTGCCCTTCTTCTGGTGTAGGCTATCCAAATGGGTATTCCATTGTATAAATGCTGATATACTACAATCACATTATCTGGAGCTACTGCTTTGGTTCAGAAATGTCATGAAATGTCAAGTTCCTACTATTTGTGTACCGTATTGCAGCCATATTGCAGTCTAAATTTCCACCAATGAATGGACACAAAACCTCCAGCTCAGAGTCCATCAGAGCTTTTATTGCCATCTCATTGCATGCAATCCAACATGATTCCTTTTCCATATTAATTGTTTCACAGGCACCTGGGTTGTGATAAGCATTCATCTTATCCACATGAACCCCAGAATATGGCATAATCCAGAGGTACGGTATTTTTGGTGACATTGCAATTATTTTCTCCAAAAGAGAGCCACATTCCTTGGGTTGACTAGAACAAAGTTGAGAGTTGTCACAGTATCCTTCTAAATGACATTTAAGATTTATACAAACATAAGTCTATAAAAATAATGCAAAAGGTTCATTTTGCAAAACACTTAGTATTAACACAATAACTCAAATATTTTTTTTTTCAGATGAGGGGCAACTGTTTAATGGTAGATTTCATGTTAGGATTCAAAAGGTCCCAGTTTCAGTCTGTAGCATTTCCAGATACAGATTGAAAAATCTCCTGCTTGACTGCACTGAACAAGTTGGACTGCTGATCTGGCTCAGTTTAGGAAAGCTTTGTAAAGTGTTCAAAGACCAGCTAAAGTGATCCTAATTTTCTCTTTTTATGGCACTTGATAGACATGGATGTTCTCTAGTAACAACTAAAATGACCAGGATATTTATTTTGTAACCACCTACTGAAACAACCTCTTTCTTGTTTTTAGGTGTTTGACCCAATGAGATTTTCTCCTGAGAACTTATCCAGCCGACATTCTCATGCTTTTCTTCCATTCGCTGCTGGGCCAAGGTGAGTTTATATTGTGTAGATATAAACATATTAACTTGATCCAAAATGTCTTTGTCCATGTCTTGCCAAAACCGAGCTAAACACAATGAAGCCAAGATCTTGTTCCTTATGAGCAGATTTCTTTTGGTTGGTGAACAAAAACAGCTAGTGCTGAGATAAACGTTCCTTCATTAGAATTTTTGGTTCTAAGGACCTGCTTTTGATATTTATTACTAAAGCAGAAAAAGAAAAGTGGGTATAAAAAGGATATAAAAGGGTGAGCATATTTGGAGGCCTTTCTAGATGGTAGCAGTAAGCGTCTTCTCCTTTTTAGATTTATTGTTTTCACTGCCTTTGCTGACAGAAGAAATTGTAGTAGAAAAAGTAATACTCATTGCAGGGTATTCCATTCTCCTTTTTATTATTGGCAGAATTTCTCAGAATATCAATCCAAAGGTTTCTAGGTCTTTAAAAAATGGGAAAAGTAACCTATAAGTTATATGTAGAAGACCACAGCATCTTGCCAGAAGCATTTTAGAACGTTGCTATCATGCCTAGCACAGGGGTGGGATTCTACCAGTTTGCACCTATTCGCTAGAACCGGTTGTTAACATTCTAAGCAGTTCGGAGAAACGGTTGTTAGAAGAAATTACTGGCTTAATCCTGTAAGGAAGGCAGGAAAGAAACATTCTGGTGTTGCTTACAGAAACTGCCTCTCCATTAACCCTTATTACATTCTTGGCAGGACTAGACTTCCTTTCTCAGGAACCTCTCTAGAGTGTTTTCCCCCTCCTTTGCTGGTACTTTGCTTGTGTGGAGTGACCATTCAAAGTTACATTGGCACTGAAAAAAGTGACATGACCATTTTTCACACTTATGACTGTTGCAGCATCCCCACAGTCATGAGAGGCCAGGCGAGGAGATGCGTGCCTCAATGTGAGTGATGTTGAGTTGGCCACGCCCAGCCAATAACATGACCACCAAGCCACGTCCACCCAGTCACATGACCACCAAGCCATGCCCACCAACTAAGCCACACCCACAGAACTGGTTGTTGAAAAATTTGAATCCCACCCCTGGCCTAGTAGTATATTTCAAAGAACACTCTGGGCAAGATAAATTAACAGTCAGAGAATTTGGGGAGTTGAGAGTCCTAGGACAGCTGTAAGATACCAGTTTAGGGTTGTGCCAGTGAAGGTTAGGAATTTGGGAATTAATTTCCAGATAGATGTACCATTGATAACAAGCTTTCTTGTCCTTTTAGAAACTGCATTGGACAACAGTTTGCCATGAATGAGATGAAAGTGGTTCTTGCTATGACTTTGCTTCGATTTGAATTGTCACTTGATTTGTCAAAGCCTCTGCCTGTTCCAGTGCCTTTAATTGTCTTGCGTTCTGACAATGGAATTCATCTTTGCTTGAAGAAACTGGGGTGAATCTATAATCACTAGAAGAAATAATTCATGTGGGGAGCAGAGAAGGGCTTCTATAGAATTTTCTCATCCAGCCAGGTGCCCTGTACATGTTTTGAGATTATAATTCTCAGAATACTTTTGTTGCTCTTCAAAAAATATTGAGACTTTAATCATGGTGACTAGAAATTAGAATACTAATACCTCTGGGGACTGCTAATTTACTGAAAGTGAGAGGGAGAATGTAGAAATTATAGAATGATATTTGCAAATAATTACCAGGAAGTGTATTTTCTCCTGATGAAAGGTTGAATGGCCAAGATATCTGGTTTCATCTACTGTCAATTCATTTTTAGATTAACTACAACACTAATAAAAGTTTCACCCAATTAATCTCCTGTGCTTTTTTAAATTAGTACTTGCATGTAGTCATGCATGAATTAATCCCTCTTGCCATTTTTGGTAGATCTCCTTGTCCACAAACAGAAGTGAAATGTCAATAGTGTGGAAATTGGTATTTCTTTCCTATGTTCTTCCTAGTACATTTCTTCTAAATTTTTCTTTATCAGTATCCCTTCTTTACTGACCTACATATGTAAAAGAACACATGGATGATCATGACCAAGGACACTGTATTTTAATAAAACTGTAGGTGTAGTTATTTCAGATCTTCTTTTTTTTAAAAAAAATGAGATGAATAAACAGTGTGGGAAAATAAAAGATTAATACTTGAGTGGCCCTATAACATCCAACTACAAGCATCTTGTTATAGCAATAGCAATAGCACTTAGACTTATTTACCACTTCACAGTGCTTCTGCAGTTTACAGCAGAGGTCTCCAAACTTGGCAACTTTAAGACTTGTGGACTTCAACTCACAGAATTCTCCAACCAGCTGGTTTACAGTGTCAGCCTATTGCCCCCAACAATCTGGGTCCTTATTTTAACAACCTTGGAAGGATGGAACGCTGAGTTCCAACCCTGAGCCTGATGAGATTCAAACGGCCAAATTGCAGGCAGCTGGCAGTCAGCAGAAGTAGCCTTCAGTACTGCATTCTAACAACTACGTCATCACGGCTCTTATAGTCTATAGTTATAGACTTTGATTGCTTTCAGCAGAGAAATGCTCCTTCATTTATTTCTTCTCATGTGATAAGCAGCAGTGTATGGCCTTTCTTGATGTAGGTCAGTTCTTTTAGTCACACATCATTATTAGAGTAATTCTGCTCCAAGTTGGGCTTGGAAGCCAAGACAGAAGCCAGAATATCTGCCTCTGGGATTCTAATGCTATTATATAATATATGATCACAGTATTTGATTATCAAAAAGAAAATCCGTTTGTAACTAAAGTCACATTCTTTGTCCATACTGGATATTATTAAATTAATTGTACTCAAACCATAATTTTCCATACGATCTTTGAATGAAATATGGAGTGCAGGACAACAGCAGATATGGAAAATTTGATTCAGTGGTAAGTAAAATTTTCTTGGACCTCAGGACACAGAATCATAGAGTAACAGAGTTGGAAAGGGACCTTGGAGGTCATCATCGAGCAGGAGAGCCTATTCCAAATATTAGCGTCTGCCTAGGATTGAACCCATAGCCTCCTGATTGTAAGGCTCCACCTTTAGGCCACTGGAGAACGAATTGTAGCTTCTCCTTGCCTTCCTCCTTCAAAGTCCATATGTCCCAGGTAAACCAGACAGGAAATGCAACAAGATGAACTAATTCTACTTTATTGTAAGGCTTCTTTAACAGAATCTTGTATGTCTATATGTATAAATTTTCCACCACCATTTTTAACTGTTTGATCCACTTAGTCTTTGCTAAATTTCTCTGAACCTTAAGTCACTGGGAGCAGAGCAGGGTTCCTGCCTCTCTTGTCCAATTGTTTCCTTGCTAGATGCTAAGGAGCAAACTGCCTATGTGGGCCTCTTGGCTATTGGCATGATCTCATTTCCTATATCTTGGTGAAGATGGAAAGTCCCAGAATTTCCGGACTTATAGGTGACCTCAGTTTACTACCATCACCACTATTCCTAAGGATTGGTTAGGAGGTTGTACCAATGTGGTTGAGAGGTTTCACCCATGTGAGATCTATTCCCTAATCCAGATGCTGTATCTATGTTGCCTTTGTCTTCTTGTAAAAACCCTATAAATGTAATAAACACTGCCCAGGCAGTCAGACATCTTGGCGCCCTGCACAATGACTGGTCTTTGATCACCACATTTTACTTTCCATCCTGCTGACTTACGGGAAGGAAAATAACTAAATTAACTGAATTATTGATCAGCACAGTTTCTGAGTTGCTTTGGTGGAACAAGCTTCTTTTTTCAGTAGAACAAGGTGACTTAAAACAGCTTATACATCCTTGACTGCTCTGATGTGACTCCAACAGCATAAAGCTATTATTAGTGGATTTGTCTACTCTTGAAATTGAGGTGTCCGGGACTGGATTTTCTCCATTTGTGCAAAGAGAGGTTCACAGACAAAAAGATGGTTACTTCCAGGGGTGGGTTTCTACCAGTTCTGTCCACCTCTGTAGAACCGGTAGCTCCGAAGAGCAGCAGACAAAGAACCGGTTCTATGCCTGCTGATGTTTTTGCCCACCTGCCCACCCGGGCTCTTACCTGATATTTATTTCATGGTTTTTCAACTTCAGCTGCCAAACGAGACACAGCTGCAGTTAAAAAAGCAGGAAAAGAGGGCTGTTTCAAAGGCTGCTTCTCTGCACACAGCGTGCTGATGACGATTTACAGGCACATGGCTCACAGTGTGCAGGGAAGCACATCATAAATCACCGAACCTCATAAATCACTGAACCGAGAGTTAACCCTGTTGTATCCCACCCCTGGTTACTTCTATGGCAACTGGAATGGTGTCTTGTTTGAGGAACCACTCAAATGATCTAGAAACATCTAATGTTCCATGGAGATATGTGGAAAATCTGGTAGCTCCCATAGAAGTTCAGAACTCTCAAACTTTAAAGTTGGGGTTTTCAATAAATATCTATAATCACCTTTTTTTTAAAACAAATTTTATTCAGTTTTTCACATTAAAAACAAAAATCTCTTTTTAGTGGACAACATATTTCCGGGTCATCACCTTTACATACAAATATGACAGCAATTATACATTCATATATGCATACTTCTATTATTACCTTTTCCATTCCAAATTTTCAGTAAGGAGAGAAACAAATACATTAATTCTAGCCTCTTTCATTAATCTCAATCAAAACATCTTTTTGTTTCATTTCAATTATTTCAAATATAATCCTTTAATATTTATTTTAAAAATAAAGATAAACAATATGTTTTTGCCTAATAATAATAATAATAAAGGTTGCCAATGTCTCTCCTTGCTTTTAATAGTCTATATTAACTTATTAATTTAGTTGGTTCTTTAGTCTGTCATATTCCCTTTCCATTACACATTATTTTTATAAATTCTAGATTAATACAAATTTTAATACACACACACACAAAAGTATAGGTCCCCCCCCTTTTATTGTTTTGTGTGTGACACCTCAATGGTTAAAATATACCTTTATTCTCTCATCTTGATTCCCAATAAACCATTATTTTTAAGAAGTTACAATAATAATCATGACATCTTTTCATTTGGATTCCGCAGCATATTTTCCCTGCTAGATTTTTAATAAGAGTTATCAGTATCTATATTACCCTATTTTCTAAATATTTTTAATTGCAGAAAAATTCTTATTACCCCTTGTCACCCTGCTTAATCCCCTTTTTAATTCATCAACCATTATCTCTGAAAAAACAATTTCTTTTCAACATTTTACTATTTCTGTATTTCTTTATTTCATGCACCTGTTTCTTACTGCTTCTCCTCCCCCTCTTTTCCCCATATCTTTTCTCATTCCAGTTTATATCCCTCTCTTTCTTAATATCTTCCTTTCCCCTTTTCTGCTGGGTCTTTCTGCCTTTCCCAACTTCACAGGTATTTTCCCTTTTGATTGCCTTCTTAAATTTCAACTTTTTAATCTTCCCTCTTTCCCCACTTCTTTGTAGTGTTCTTTGTGGTAATTGTCTATTTAAGATGTCTTCTCCTTGAGTCGACTCCTCCTCCTCTGAAGCTCTTTCTTCTTGTTCTTCAATCGCCATTTCCATTTTTTCTAACACAGAGCAAAGTGATTCGCCTCTTTCCTGTAGTAATTCTCTCATATTTTTAAGTTCCATTTTTAATTCCTGAAGAGATATCATCATTACACACTCTTATATTTTATGATTGTTAAAGTCCACAAAAAAAACCACTTTTACTTTCCTTCTTTCTTTCAGTTTTTTAAAGTTCTGTTATTCCAGCCGAGGGTCTATACCAAAAACATCAATCAATCCCACAGTCAGCCTTTCCTTGCTTTTTTTCTTTATTCTGGTTCTGCTTTCACTTTCTAAGATTCTTACTTTGTTTCAATATTTCTTTTATGTTATATCCACACAAGTTCATTCAGAAACAGGATGCTTTCCCTTTTGTTTGAGCTCAAGTTTTTGTCAAAAGGTGGCATTCTCGATTATACAAAGTCTTCACCTTTTCCCCCTATATTTTTATTTAAGGTTTTTCGAACCTCAATATTCCAGCACAGTCCAGTCTCCAATTTGTAAACTTTATTATTATTATTATTTGACAATCTTAAATCCAGCTTTATTTATTTATGCCTGTTTATTCCCAAAATATTTCAGTCCAATTTAGTTAAATCTTTAGTTCCAGCTTCTTCCTTTCCCGGTTCGAAGCCCGGCTTAGCTGTCAAAAATATTTTCTTTTTTCCCCCCTGTCCCTTTGTAATTTCGCCACTCACTTTTCTTTTCTTAAAAATTCCATGTTACCATAATCCTGGGGTACTTTTGTTTAGTTGTATTGCCCAGTTGTCCCAGTTCAGATGTTATCCACCTGTTTTTTCCCTCCTGAACAAATCTTAATCCAGCTGAGTCCTCCTCTTCAGGGTGGCCATTTTAAACCACCGCTGCAGTCATCTTCGGGGGGAAAAAGACCAAGCCCGGGGGGGGGGGGGGG